GAGATAGCAGATTGTGGAGAGGCATGATCACCCTCGCCAGTAGGCAAGGCACCTGATGATGATGATGAACGTTCCAAACCTCACAGTTAATAACAGTAGCATCAAAAGAGAAAGCAAACCGAGGTACATGGGTATCATATTCAATAGAAGCTTGTCCTTCAGGGATTATGTGGAGGCAGTAGCGGTGAAATGCCAAAGAGGACTCAATGCTTTCAAGATTATGGCAGCAATAAACATGGAACAAAGAATAATGCTCACAGTGTTCCAGCATGTGATCCTGTTAGTGATAGATTATGTACTTGGCATGCTTACTACTGAGTCAGCTGATGAAACTTGAACGCATGCAGAATGAAGACATGCGGGTGATTCTGGGATGTACAAGGGATACCCCGGTAGTATATATGCGGTATATACTTGCACTGCCTACTATTGCAGATAGGCTTAAAGTTCTGCAGGCAAAGTCATATCTTAGAGTAGCTGCGGACAAGAGGGGCCTCCTGCATAAAGAAAGCCCTGAATAGAGCTAAGGGTCACAGACTGAAAAGAGTCTTGGATGGCGCAAGCTGAAGACACAATTGGACATGTGTGCAGGCGTGATCAATTTAGGCAAGGATAGGAATGGGTCAAGGTGTCCGATCAGATTTCAGACTTGCGTAGAGTTTTTATCACTTTGAGTCGTGAGTGCAGGGACTGGGCAGCTGGTGCAACAGAATCTGAAGTTCAACAAATGATTCATGAAAATTCCCGCCCAAGTGATGTGATTGTATATACAGATGGCTCTGTGTTAAGGGGCAAATAAAGTGCATGGGTGTTCATAGCAAAGGCGAATGGATGTCGCTTGGTGCACACAAAGCATGACGTATATCATAACGTCTAGTTTGAGAATGGAGGTGCAGGCAGTCATGCTGCCTTCCGCTGGCTTGAGAATCAGCTGTACACACATGCCACCATTGTAACTGACTCACAGAGTACGTTGAGAAAGTTGGAGACAGGCATGCTATGTGCAGTGTGGCAAGGTCCTGAGTAGTTTGCATCCTTTGGATATTTTCTCCAGGGTATGCCGGTGTGTTTTTGGAAATGAGCAGGCAGATAGACTGGCAAGTTCTGCACCTCTTGGTTGTGAACTGATGTATGACAAACTGGATGTTGTGAAAGCCCTTTTGTAGTGAGTGAACAGTGTCAAGGCACAGATAGATCATTATGGTCTGGGGAGAATAGAACTGCGAGGAGTTACAAGGAGATCTGGCTGATGCTTGACACTCAAGGAAAGTTCGAGATGGATATACAATCAGACAGTTACTAGTACCATCGGAATTTGAACTCTTTGCTTGCTGCTGAGGATGGGGATGGAGCTCTTATGGGGGTGTCCTGAGTGCTGTGATGTTGATTCTAAATTTAACCCTAAAGTATGACCTAGCTTGCAGTACTTTGAGCGTGTCTGTAATAGTCGACTGTGCAAAGATGTACTGCATTATAGACTACTGTAGTGTCTCTTCTACATACTAAAATCATCTGCCTGGTTTTTTTTGCACACATTAAAGCAAGATAGGGACTTCTGCTTCTTCTTCACTTCCACCATTTACCTCAGCGAGGTGTTGGGGGGAGATGTAAGGATCCTTTTTGCACTTTTTCCAATGCAATGTATGAGTACCACTTTTGGTACGAGAATGTAATAGGAGTCTAGGAAGGACACCAGAAACATGCTGAAAAAAATTAAAGATAGTGCCTGGGACCAGAGGGAATTAGGTATAGGCATGTAAAAGACATGAATAAAAAGAAGCTGGAGGAGATAGCAGAGATGTTCAAGAAAACCATCAAAATTGCATTACTGCTCCAAGAATGGCTACATAAAACCTCAATCCAGTGTCTAGACAATACAAGGAGTACTCCAGACTAAACGGGCACCAGATCATCACCCTGCAAGATTTATTCATAAAAATCCTAGAGAAGAGAGTGACTAAGAGGCTGCAGATGCCCCAGGAAAAAAACATTCGCCTAAAAAAAAAAGCTATGGACCAAGAAGGGACACCTAGACTAATAAGGCAACATTCACCTACAATGTAAATAAAGAATTATAAAACAGAATGGAGATGATTGCAGCGAGAGTTGATTTTGAGATCAGATATGGAACACTTCTACACATGCTTTTTGATATCTGGACTGTTATTTGGAATCGCATAGATATTTTGCCCAGGCTATGCAAGCGTGTTTGGGAACAAGAGGGTAGATAGGTTGGCTGGAATGGCCTGATGGGGGAAGTGTACTGCAATTGCACAAGGCAAAGGTGGTCTCTCACTTGTGGGATGAAGTTTCAAGTGCAATGAAAGATGCTGATCACACATACCTGGAGAGAACAATGCAGCAGGCAGTTTCTATGGGTAGTGGCTGCCACTCGAGACTCACATGGAAAAGTAAGAGTGATAACCCATGAAAAGGTGTACCATTAGTATGGAGGCTTTTCTCTGGATGTTGAGAAGGGAGACAGAGCTAATATGGGCTTGTTCTTAGCCTGTGACATCCAATCTTTACCCGGATGACCGAAATGACATTTGTAACATTGAGAAATTTATTCTTAACATATGCTTCATGCTTTAAATGTTATTAATCAGAGTTTGTTATAGCTGTTTTATAGTTTTTGTTTTATTATGAAAGTGATTTCAGAACTAGAGGTTACTATAGTTGTTACCTGACTGAAAAATTTCCAATTGTCTTTATATTCCATTAGCCCCAAACAGTTATACAAATACCAACTGTCACATAAATGTTACTTTTCAAAATTTATGTACAAGATTTGGTAACTTCTTTATACCAAAGAAATTTTTATCATAAAATGTTAAAGATAGAAAAAAAGATAGACATAAATTTAAAAGGTTACGAAGAGTTGACCCACTCTATCCTAACTACCACTTTAACTCTTTCTGTTCTAAAAGATTTTAGTTTCATTCTTCTAGTCAAAAATAAAATGAAAGGGTTAAGCTGCAGTTAATGAATACTGAGGTAATTCGTTGAATAAGGAAGCAATATTTAAAAAAAAAAAAACACATCTTAAGGCAAAGCAATTAAAGTAATTTGTCAAAGTTAACTGATATGTTGAATGTTTAATAAAGAATCAACATCATAGCACTTGGGGCACTCTCTTAAGTGCTCTGTCTCCATCTTCAGCAGCAAGCGAAGAGTTCAATTATGATGGTACCAGTAACTGTGTTTAGCATTGGCCAGATCCCCTGGTAACTTCCTGCAGCTCTATTCTCCTCAGACTGTAATGATTTATTTGTGCCTCTGCACTATTCATTATCTCCCAGAGGGCCCTCACAATATCTAGCTTGTCATACATCAATTCACCACCAAGTGGTGCAGAACTGGCCAGTCTATCAGCATTTTATCTACCTCACATCTCCACAGAGTCATCTGTATAGATAATCAAATCACCTGGGCAGGAATTTTCAGGAATCATTTTTTTAACTTCTAATTGTTCTAGTGCCTGCCCTCATGACCTGAAGTGATCAGAACCCTACACAAGTATGATTCTTGCTTGGACACTCTGACCCACTTGTCTCTTGGCGCAAATTTATCAAGCCTGCACATGACTAATTGTGTCTTCAGAGTGGGCCATCAAAGACCTTCCTCTTTTCAGTCTGTGACTCTTAGCTTTACTTAGGGTTTCATGCAGGAGGTGCTTCTTGTCTGCAGCTAATCAGAGATATGACTTTGCTTTAAGCCTATAGTAGGCAGTGCACATGCCAGAATTACCTGTATTCTTCAATCTGTATGCGTTCAAGTTTCAACAGCTGATTCTTTGAAAGGGTAAGCATTTCAAATCTATAATCTATCACCAACAGGATCACATGCTGGAATATTGTAAACAGCATTCTTTGTTCCATGTTCATTTTGGCCATAATCTTGAGAGTACTTGAGAGTACTTTTTTTGGGCATTTTGGGATAGCAAATGCCTCCACATGATACTGGTGCATCTCCATTTTATGTTTTTTAAACTCTTTGAGTCCCAGGGAATGCATCACACGCTAATTTGTTACAACTGCCCGACGCAGACCACTCAATTTCAACTTCCTTTCGAGTTCTTTGTGTCTGATAACAGGCGTGCTCAAAAAAAAAAAGCGGTCTGAAAGCCGAAAATGTAGTATATTGCGAGATTTATACTGAGTTACTAAGCGTTTGTTTGAAAAGAATATGGCCGCCAAGCAGTATTCTACATGCATGCCAATATGATTTACAAATTTAAATAAAGTAGGTGTTGATTCAATTTATCTGAAGTTAGATAGACAATGTTGTGAATTAGATGTGTTTCACTCATTTATAGAATCAAACTTAAATGAGGGATAAATACCTTCCGCGAAGGTACAACTATAGCAGAGTCAGCTGGCACAAATAGAATAAACATTAGCGAAAAGATGATTTTCTTCAGTGTCAGTTACTATTCCCATTATTATTTAGGAACATAGCTACAAAATTACAGACAAATTAAGTGTTATATAAACTTCGTTTTGTGTGGATATACTTTTTGTTTTGGGAGTAGGTTTTCTTTACCAAATAATGGTGTTCTGTTTTAATGCTTCAAAAGATTCTTTGGAACAAAATCTTACGTATAGATTGAGTTTATTTTTTAGTTATACGTTACTAACTGGTTCATATTCGTTTGTGATTCATTTTGGATATATTTTAACCAGTTTTTCTTGAGTGCCATGGTGGTAAGTGGATTTTTTAAATATTTCATTTTACTAATTTTTGTAAACACACTGTCTGTTTATGTACTAATATTTAATTACGAACAAATTATTTGTTGTAGCTGTATTCTGTAATTATTCCTTAACAATCCCTGGTTACTTTGTTATATAATATGTGTATGTTGCACAGCAATTGAATTAGTATGGTCTGTTTTAATGTGCTACACTTGTGAAATTAAAACAAATTGCATTACCACCCCTTGGGCCTCTAATGCTAAACCCCTTGGGACTCAAAGACTTAAATGAACAAATCTTTACCTGGACATCCAGCCTCTCTTGGACCCTTTGCAGATGTTTGACCATCTAGGCAACAACCATATGTTGTCTCAAAACAGTGCTTTACTTGAACTGAATCTAAAATGGACATTAATACAGTGATAAACAACTCTTGTCATGACAAAAGTTTCCTTACAATGAGCTTATTTTATACTAAAAACACACACACACACCCACCCACCCCCGCGCGCGCACACACACGCACGCACACACGCACCCACCTGCGCGCACGCATGCATGCACGCACGCACGCACACACACACACACACACACACACACACATATATATATATATATATATATATATATATATATATATATATATATATATTATATATATATATATATATATATATATATATATATATATATATATATATATATATATATATATATATGTATACATACATTCATAGATGATGAAGGGTAGAAACATGTTACTAGGCTTGTCCATTTATCGAACTGATGAATGAATTAAGAAATGACACCACTGCACTCAAGACATTCCGATACTGCTCCGTTCCCCTTTAGTAACCAACAACAATTTGATATGCTGCTAGTTTCAACCTGATTTAAATTCTACCTTTGTTTTTCCTTCAGTATTGAATGTCTTCCATAAATCCTACTCACTCCCCACTGAATTAGCCTTTCACAAAGAGCCTTCACACCATTCCCTTTATCATATAGTAGCTCACCACCCAGACTAGCAGCAGCAGCAGCAAATCTGTCAGCCTGCTCATTACCTCATACACTTGAAAAACCTGGACAGAAAATGCATGATATGCTCTTGATCTGGGTCTTATCAAGTGACGCAAGCCACTCTCCACACAGGATATTAGTTTCAATTTTTCACAAGCATGCTCTGTGAGTCTGATAAAATTACAACTTGTCAAGTTGTGCCACTCTCAAGGTATCAGAAAGTTCCCGTCACTGCCTCCACCTCCATTCTTATACTGAATGTAGTGACTTGTATGCACTGCTTTCTGTTTTCAAGCAGTATCTGTTCATCTTTGCAATAAAACCCCATCCACTTTTCTCCCTTAAGCCCTATCTGTATACATATTATGTCACCTGAGAATGAATTTTCATTGATCAGCTCTTGCATGGCTGTCTCTGTTTCAACAGCTACTCATTCCAAGCACCCTCAGTTCAAGGCAACTATCACTCTCTGCAAGCCTGTTTTGCTGGGAGGCATGTAACTCTTCTTCATCACGTGCTATCTTGTCAGTAGCACAAACAGTTCTCTGATTAATCAAAGCAATGTTTCCCCGTTGTAAATTTGAACAAAGAAGACACAAACAATAGACTGCACAATTTATTGCCTGGCATATTTCGCTGTATCTCATCAGGTGCATACTTCAATTTGTGTTTCAGTTTCTAGGATTCAGCTATTTGCTTCATTTTAATTCATTGTTACTGAAGTATGCACCTGATGAGATACAGCGAAATATGCCAGGCAATAAATTGTGCAGTCTATTGTTTGTGTCTTCTTTGTTCAAGTTCTCTGATTGTCTACTGCCTGTGCCATCAAAGAGCCACCTCTCTTCAGTTATTTTACCTTGCTATCCCTAAGGCCCAAGAAAAAAGGTTTTTCCTGTTTTTTGTTTTTAAAGTATATTTTTGCCTGTAAATCCATGTATCTCTCATTCACTGATGTAATGCAAGTATGTGCTGCACAATTGGCATATCTTGTGTACACCCCAAAAGAACAGGCATGGCTTCATTTTGTATGCATTCCAACTTCTTTATTTGGGGGTGTGAAATAATGTTAACAGTCCCAAACAATATTCCATCACTGAAATAATCAGTTGCTGGTAGAGTGTATAGAGCATTCTCTGTACCATGTCTGCTGATGCCATAACCTTCAAAGCATTCTTTCCCCATCTTTAAAACTACCTCTTCCATGTGATATTTGAAAGACTCCTGTCAAAGAAATTTTGAGATATTTTAGTTATTTATCTCTCTTTATATTCATTATCATCATGGAGCAGGTCCTTTGCAGGTTGTAGCTCTCATTACCATCTGCCTGAAAGAAACCCGGTCTCTCATCAGCTCTCCCAATTCCTATTCAAGGATTCACTTATATTATGTGCCCGCCTTCATGTTGGTCCACTCCTCCCCCTCCCCCCACTCCCCCCCCCCCCATGGTAACACACCTTCTGCTGTTATTTTTTCTAATCCACCATGGTGTTTGATATATCCAAAATATTTCAGTTTCTGAGACAAGATGCTGTTTATTAGCCAATCTTCCTTGTTCAGATCTTTTAAAATGTCAGTATTTCTTCTCTACTTTGTCTACAGTATTCTGAAAATCTTGTTATAGCATGTCAGCTCAAAAGCCCCAATTTTCTTTCTTAAGGACTGGAAGATAGTGCATGACTCACATTCATATGTTGCTACAGGGAAGATGCATGCTCTTAAAATTTGATTTGATTTCCTTGCTATTGCTTAACCACAGACTTTTAATGCTTTTTAATCTTTGCATTGCTATGTCCTTTTGATTTCTGTTGAACAGTCTCCATTGCTATTCATTATAGAGCCTAGATATTCAAAGTTTGTGACATCTTAAGTGTCGTCATCATTTTTTTTTAATGACAGTCAGTTTTGTCTGGATATTATTTTTGTTATCCTTAAATTCAAGAATAGGTTTTGATCTTCACTGTGTTTTTGGGAAGACAGTTTCTATTTCCTTTACACTGTTTTAAAGGAGTACTGTGTCGTCTACCTAGTGAAGTTCCTGAATAATGTTGCCACCAATTATGAGCGGTTTATAACTGTCACAAGTCTGGTCAATCTTGACCTTTCTCATTATGTTTTCTGCAGATGGAACACATACACAAACATTGCTGACAATGCAATTAAAAAGAAAGGGGTTTAAATTGGTTTGCACAGAAATAATGTGGTAAATGTAGGCATTTAAATGTAGGCATTTAATGTTTTGAAAATAAGCAGAAACACTGAGAAACATCTTCTGTTGTCAGAGATATGGTTTCTGAGGGAGACAAAAGAATATTACAGATGGACAGAAAGAAATGAGGCTGTCTTTCAGATAAAAACCAAAAACTGATTTGATGAATACTGACAGTCAAGATGTTTTGGCATGTTATGAGGAGAACAAATCTTGAAAACTTAATGATAGCTCATAAACATAATAGGAAAAGAGCAGGGGAAAGACAAAGATATAAATACGTGGATAGTGAATAACAGCTACCCAGACAGCATAGCACCTGATGATGATGACAGTAATTAATTGCAAAAAAGCTAGAATACTGCTGCTGAGAACTGGTCTGTGTTACAAGTGGTTTAAAGTCTAGCTCATCTGCCAGATTGAAGGCTGTGGCTAGACCAGGACTCAAGCTCTTTGCTGTAAATTCAAGAGATGGTATGAATGCTCTACAAAAAGTAAGACATTTACAAGAACCAAGTGATGATTGTGAACCTATAACAATGATCAGACTGCAAGAACAACATGTTAAAAGGGGTGTGGCCAGACAAGAGCACTATGCAGGAAGCCAGAGAATAAGAAACCAACAAAGAACTGGTGTCGTCAGCTGCTACATGCTGCAGAATTTACTAAAGAGGGGATCAAAGCACTTATAGACTGAATGGTTCGATGTGCAATGAGAATAATCTGTTGACCAACTAAAAAAATTACTGAGCCTAATATTTTTTGGACAAAACAGTCTAGGAGTTAGTGAGCTGTCCTTTTCATATCAGCCTTATCTCCAAAATTCTTATGGTACTCACTTTATGAGGCCGGGTGAAATGTAGAGGTGAGAATTGACATCATACACTGGGGACACTCCCATAAGCACTCTGTTCCTATCTTCAGCAGCAAATGAACAGTTCCAGTTCAGATGGTACCAGTAACTGTCTGATTGTATATACGTCTCTCCTTTTCCTTTGAGTGCTGAGTGTCAGCCAGATCCCCTGGTAACTCTTCGCATTCTTCTCAGACCGTAATGATATATTTGTGCTTCCACATTGTTCACTCGCTCCCAAAGGGCTCCCACAACATCTAGCTTGTCATTCATCAGTTCACCACTAAGTGGTGCAGAACCAGCCAGTCTATCTGCCTGCTCATTTCCCAACACACTGACATGACCTGGAGAAAATATCCAAGGGATGCTAACTATCCAAGACCTCTGAAGAGATGCTTGTCACTGAACGGAGCATACTTTCTCAATCACCTTTCGCAACATGCTCTGTGAGTCAGCTAAAATCATGTAGCATGTGTGTACAGCTGATTCTCAAGCCAGCGTAATGCAGCAGTGACTGCCTACACCTCCATTCTCAAACTAGATGTTGTGATGTCATATGCCAGGCTTTGTTGCATTAAACAACGTTCTTTCATTTTTGCTATGAACCTTTATACACTTCCTTTGTCCCACAACACTGAGCCATCTGTATAGATAATCACATCACTTAGGCGGGAATTTTCATGAATCATTTGTTGAACTAACGATTCTGCAGCGTCAGCTGGCCAATCCTCACACTCACAACACAAAGTTATAAGAACCCAACACAACTCTGAAACTTAATGGGGGACCTAAAGTTTAAATTAAAAACAGCTGGAAAACAAACAAACATGCACAACAAAGAATAGACAGTTAAAAACTTTGTACTGATGGATCTCATAAATCATAATAACAAATGACATCATGTTTTTCTTATAATTAAATAGAAAATCTAGTTCGAGACACACATACCATCCTTGCAACACTTAGAAAACTGTGCTGTAATGTGGCAATAACTCTTTGCTGGACATATATCTTTACCAGGACCGCAGTCAAAGTCACTTCCTGTCTGTGGGTTCACTAAAGGTACAGAGCCATCACATGCTTCCAGCTCTGTAAATTCTGCAAAATATCATACAATGAGGGTCTGTACTTGCACTGGTATCAGAATTTGATAGCTTATAATTTATACATAAAACTATTTTAAAACATCTTTATCAATGAATAAAACAACAGGAACATTTTATTAAAGAAAAAAGTTATGAAAATGCCATAATGAAGTAAAAACTGATATAACAGTTTGATTTCTGAAGATTACCAGAGGACAACACACATAGGCCACTAACAAATCTCTCAAGTCTTTATTTAATGATTAACTCTTTGAGTCCCAGGGGGTTTTGCATCAGAGGCCCAAAGGGAAAGGGAAAAGGGGGGGGGGGGAGGGGGGGGGGGGGGGGGGTAATATGATTTTGACTTTTAACAAATGCTGCAATTTAAAACAAATCACACAACTGCAGCTGATGTGCAACATACACATATCATACATGAAAATAAACATAAATGGATAAGGTTTAATATTTGCATACTGCTACAACAAACAATTATACCTTTAGTTAGTATTTAGTAGAGAAAACAGTGACTTAGTTTGAGAGGTGAATAAATTATAAACAAGTTTTTTCCACTTACCCAGAGGCTGATCCCAAAATTCTTGATATAGTATATCCAAAATGCATCACAAAGGAAGGTACACCACTTATAAGTATGCACAACCAATATTAAAGCAAAATGTGCAATAGTTGCGGTTCCATAGCAATTTTAATAACACTACCATAACACGTCAAAATATATTCTCCAGTGGCACAAACAGTGACTTTTCTAAAAACAATTGAATTCCTCACATAGAAAAAACTGTAAAGGCACTGTAAACATGTCAACCTGTTCATAGATATATACCTATGGTTTTAGATGATATGGATAGTACTAGAAGTGCTGACATTTGGACTAGCTGGTGTCGCGTTACGAAGTGCTTCTCTTGTGTTGCCATGGCAGAATTAGTTTTGTCCTTTTAGCAGGAGGTAAATTACGCACACATTCCTCATCAAAACTTGACCCGTCAACAGTTTGGGGAGATTCTACGTCACTACCATCATTATCCAACTCCACATTACTTTGATCGATCCACTGTTTATCAAATTTTATGCTTCTAAATCAGTAAATCGCTTTGCTGGGCATGAAGACGATGACTGATCGGACATATTGTTTTCAGACAACTGTTTGGTAATGTAGTAGACCACACAATTATAGATTTAAAGCGTTAAAAACTCACCAGACCCAAAAGAATGCCCTTCACGTGTGTTCACTACACACTTGAGAACCGGAAAGGAAGTTTAAATTGAGCGGTTCGCATGTAATTACAGATAAGTGGTGAATTAAAAACCGTCACACATCATGCGCTGGTTGGGCCACGAGGTAGTAACCAAATAGCGCGTGATGCATTCCTTGGGACTCAAAGAGTTAAAGCAACAGAAATACTTTACAGAATAAAAAACTGACCCTGCAATAAAAAGCGGGTAAAAAGAAATGATAGTTTACTTCCTGGAAATCAAAATAGGGAAAGCTGGAGCAGAAAGAGAAGTGAAACATATGTGTTTGTGTGTGTGTGTGTGTGGGGGGGAGGAGGGGGGAGATCAGAATACTGAGCATACATGAAATGATGTAATAACCACAATTTTAAAATTCATGAAACATTTATTATACATCTGTCCCACAGCTATACCTATCTGAAGGGACTAGACAACATACTCTATGTTTATTATACATCTGCCCCACAGCTACCTAAAGGGGCTAGACAACATACTCTATACTTATTATACATCTGCCCCACAGCTGTACCTATCTGAAGGGACTAGACAACATACTCTATATTTATTATACATCTGCCCCACAGCTGCCTGAAAGGGCCAGACAACATACTCGTTATTTATTATACATCTGCTCCACAGCTATACCTACCTGAAGGGGCCAAATAACATACTCTATATTTATTATATATCTGCCTCACAGTTATACCTACCTGAAGAGGCCAGACAACATACTCTATTATACATCTGCCCCACAGTTATACCTACCTGAAGGGGCCAAACAACATATTCTATTATAATCATTATGTGTCCTCCATGCAACCTTCTATTGTTGGCTTATATATAGTCTATGGGATAAGCCAAATGCCCATATAGGTCATTTGCATGCAATAAGAGAAGATAACATGTGTTTGTGGTGCAACATGCTAAAACATCTTGACTGTCAGTATTCTTCAAATCACTTTTTGCTTTTTATTGAAAGACAGCCTTATTTCTTTCTGTCCATCCATGATATTCTTTTCTCTCCTCGGAAACCATATCTCTGACACCAGAAGATGTTTTTGAGCGTCAAACGTCAAATGCTTACATCATTTCTGTGTTATACCACTTAAACCACCCTTTTTCTTTTTTAATTGCAGTTTAGTTGTCAGCTATTTATTTGTATGTGTTCCATCTGCAGAAAACATAATGAGAAATATAAAAAATGACCAGACTTGTGACAGTCATAAACTATATACTTATGATATTAGAACTACTTTCATTACACAATATTGGCCATGTTCTTTACCCAAGGTTGATCTTCTGTTGTGGAACTGATATGTTAAATTTCTCATTCTAAAGTGCTTGCTGGCCAATCCCTGCACTCCAGGCCATGTGATTAGAACCCAACACCTGTTTTTTTATTTTTTGTTGCTCTGACACTTTGACCCACTTCTCTTCTCTCCCATTTTTTTCCCCAGCATACACACATCACTAATTGTGTCTACTGCTTGCTCCATCCAAGCCTTCCCTCCAATGACCCTGTGACCCTTAGCTGTATCCTGGGATTCATGAAGAAGGTTGGTTTTTTTTTTCCCCAGTACCTGAGTTACAACCTAGCTTGCAGTACTTTGATCCTGTCCGGCAAGGCAATAGTCATGTTGCAAGGATGTATGGCATTGCAGACTCAACTAACTTAGCTTTAGCTAATCACCACCACTTGGCCATAGTATAACTTTCTGACATAAATAAAGATTTTTGTGGCATCAAACACTCAGTGAAGCTGTTAGTGAAACAATGCATCCGCTTACCATCACAGTTCTCCATTGGTTGTTCTGTAATTGCTTTGCCTTTACGGCAAGATTGAAACTGCATAATGCATTGGTTGCCATAAATCTGATCATCAGAGCCACAAACAGGCTGCCTGTAATGAGCTCATTGATTAATACTAAAACAGAAATCAGACCAAAAATGTAATATAGGTTTCAGATACTCCACTTGTGATGTATGCCAAATATGGATTTTTCAGCATATTTTGTGTCTAAACTATAATCTTCTATAACTCTATGTCTCATTACTATTTTGAAGTATCCACTTTGATTTTTAAAAACCAATTTGAGGCAAATGAAGTAGTGATAATGTATGCTTAGCTACCAGACAAGGATCATATATTTGCTTCCCCATCAACATGAATTCCTATAACTGTCCTAAACTTCCAGGCTGACCTACGAACCAATAATCTAATCTTGGCTGCACAGACCCCATCAATCTCTATAAGCCTTGCAACTGTCAAGATCCATTCAATTTTGCCTTGTGACTGTAAAGACCCCATTCAGTCTAACCTTGTGACTGAACATTCCCCATCTAATCTAACCTTGTTACTGCACATACCCCATCAAATCTAATCTTCTGACAACAAGACTCCATTAATTTAATCTTCTAACTGCACAGACCCCATCAATCAAGCCTTTTGACTGCCCAGACACTATCAGTCTAGCTTGATACTGATCTCTCATCAGCACTCTCATTACTGATTCTGATTTACTTATTACTGATTTAGAAATAAACATCATAGCACACCGGGCATACCTATAGATGCTTCGTCTCCCACAGCAAATATCTTAAGGTGTAGATTCTAACTGCTCCCGTAGCACACTGCTTATACACATGATGTTCTTTTCCACTCATGTGCCCGTCCATGCCAAATCCACTCCTAATTCCTTGTTCAAACATTCTTACATATGTTATTTCATCTAATCTCGTGTCTTCTACCAACATTCATTTATATATGATCTTCAGAATATTTCTCTTGTCCAGTACTCTGGATTTCTTGAGTAAATCCCATGACTTTCTGGATTTTTTTCTGTGCCATCTTTACCCTAAACACATTCTCATGGAGGCTCTTAAAAATGTACAATCCATCACTCAGAGAGAGGCCTTGCCCACTAAACCTTAACCCTCTACTGACCGACCTAAATTTATCCTAACATACCACCCTAATAATTTGGCTGTGTCTAAAATCTTCCATCATCACCTTAATATTCTTTGCTCTGATCCTGACACCCGTAAGATCTTTAGTGACAACCCTAGAGTAGTCTAGAGGCAAGACCATAATCTTAAGAATTTACTTATCAAAAGCAGACAGCCTCAGATCCAAACAGCAGTTCATTTCAGTACTTCCAAATGCTCCTGTATTTGATGTAAAAGATGTCCTTGAGTGATCCAAACCTCTTCGGTCTGCTACCCGAAGGGTTTATTTCACAATAGAGAAGAATTTACTTGTGAATCATACAACCTAAATGATGGCATCTTTTCCTTGGGGAAACCAGTAGGAAGCTAGCAGATTGCTTCTGTAAACGTCTTGCTGACATTCATAATAAGGCTCTCAAACCTGTCTCTCTCCATTTCAGTAGTTCTGACTATGAAGGCAAAAACATGATATCTCAATTACTTTATTAAATCTTACTCTAGTGATCAGACCAGCAACTACTCATTAAAAAAAAATCATTTTATCCATAGCTTTGGCATTATTAGTCCTGGAGGGATTAATATCCAACACAGTTTTTTTTTTTAATTTAATTTATTCACTTGTTCATTTATTTAATTTATTCATATTTCTCCTCCTCTTTTTACGCATTCTTACTTATTTCATTTCTTATTATAGCCCTTCATATTAATCCCCCATCCCTGTCCCTTTATTTACTTCTTGGTTTAATGTTGACCTTTATTTTTTATTGGCTCGGTTATCTTGTCCGTTGAGTTCTCCAGTCGCAGTCTGTGCTGTATTTAGTACTCCAATGATAAAGACTGGTTGAAACGTTTGATTGTGTTTGTGTGTGTCTTTTACATTCCCTCCATTGAGCTTTCTAGTAAAATTTTGTTTTATATTTAGCATTTTATTTTGCAAGGAACATCTTATGCTATGCCAAAACACTTGGCTCTTACAGTTTACCATTTCAGACAATCATTAGAAATATTTATCAGGTCTGTGTTAATGTCCAGTCCATGCCAGGAGGTCTAGCCATCTAGGTATTTATATCTTTTTCTTCCTCTTACTCTTTTCCCATCATGTTTATGTGTAAATTCCTTTTCATTAAATGCTTTAAAAAAATTTTTTTTTATTACATTTAATTTATGTACTAACCTCACAGCCTCACAGCTAAACTTGCAGGAACATGTGTACTGCAGACCCACGCGTTCACACCTGCCTCCATACTTGATGCAGTTCTCCTGTACACATGTTATGTTAGCAACAACAGGAATGGGATCTTCAGATTCATCATCTGTATTCCAACCATCACCACTGATGGCAAAGTCTAGAGAAAGCAGCTTTGAGCATTTAGTGTAAGAATCACAAGTATAGTCTACATTAGCTTTCTGTCTTTCACTGACAATTTACCAATGATCTTCAATGAATATATGGTTTATAAATCCCAAAGATATCATAAATGAAACAAATATGATATTCTGAGCCGCTGTCAGTCAGGAGTTCTTGAGATCAAACTTCCTCAAAGATGTTTTTGTTTTTAATGGAGCGCGCATGGGAATGCCCCGAGTGTTGTGGTGTCAATTCTTGACTCAACTCAACTGTTTTATTTTATAAACACATACTCAATGATAACACAGGATTACAATATAAGATTATTTTGTGGAAGCTGAAGCAGCTAACCTCAAAAAAAAATATTCAAGAGTTCATTAGAATGCTTTGAGTATAGTAATATCAGTGATGGTCACTTCAGAATATGCGGTCATAATACACATGTAAATATAGTGAAAACTCTCACAGATACACACAATGTGTGCTAGCTTAGATCCAACAGCATTAACATTAGTCATCCAGTACAGAAAATGTGAGATACTAGTCAAAAAGGTAAACACTTTAACTCTTTGAGTCCCGGGGGGTTTAGCATCACAGGCCCAGGGGGTAGTAAAGAAAGTAATAAAATCGGCGCATCATGCGTTCATTGGGCTTCTAGGTAGGAACCTATGAACGTATAATGCGTCCCTTGGGACTCAAAGAGTTAAGAGTGAAAAGTGACTTCCTAAATTGAGCAGCATATTAATTTTTCTAACAAATAAAATACATATAAGCAGAAATTATAGTGAGGCTGTGAAGTTATTTCTCTGCACATCTTACTTACATAGAGACAAATGTTTTAAAAACTAATATTAAGTACTGAGGAAGATAGAGCCAACTCATCTACATTAGTCTACTTCATAAACATAGGGGGCCTTGACATAACTGTTTTATAAGGCTGAACAGGGCTTATGGGATTTTTCCTGTTTGATTTACATCTAAACGCTGTCTCTCTGAGTCAGTGGGTGTCAATCTTTCATCTTTCAGGCTGCAGACCGGAAAATAAAAAAAAAGGGGGGGGGGGGTTTAATGTTAAGTGTATTAATTTAAAAAAAAATATTTCATATTTTTAAATCTATCTTACTTTTCGTATTTTGCAACCATTAACCTGCAAGAAAAAGAAAATGAATGTTGCATGTTCTCTACCAAAACCCTGAACCTATTGCAGTCAAGAAATCAAGCATTAAGTCTAAACTATACAATCATTAAGCCAGGATGCAACAATTTAAACCACTCAGTAAAATAGATAAAGTTACCAAAGACTTAACCAAAATGCACAAATAACAATTAGAAATTAAGCACAGTAATATTATCTTATGAAAGCTACTACAATAAATAACATTTATACGCAACATACATTTTTTCAAGACAACAGTAAAAAAAGATGGTAGAAATAGATGCTATGTTAATATGACAGAGAATCAACATTTGTGCTTAAAAAGTGATAATTTGTACAACATGATATTACAACATAGAATGATAATGACTGACTGGACCAGTACTTTTTAATCAACTGTGCACTCTGTATCTTTACATTCTATGACTGTTAATAATAAGCTTTACATAGAAACTTGTTTATGAAGTCTTTAGTTTCTGGAACATATAACAAGCACTGGTTCTTAATGTTATATAAACTTCTAATGTTTACTTGTAGATGGTACTACTGTTATTGATGCATTTTTTTTTTAAACTGTCTAACATCACAAGTAAAAATTGTCTCTAAAACTTGGTAAAAAGAAAATTTTAATCTCTGGAGGAATTCATGTATAAATATATGATAATTCTTAAACCTTAACCTAAATTAATACTGAACATATCTGAATATATGATTCTGAACCCTGGATTTAATCAGTAAACAAAGGGATCATTAAAGATAACCAAGGCAGACAGCTCACCACAGAACAAAAACAAGACATGCAGTGGACTAAACACTTCTCCGACCTCTTGAACAGACCTGATCCTGAAAATCACCCAGATATTCAACCAGCCTCTCAGGACATTGATTGACATTATTACTAAACCACTAAGCAAACAGGAAATCCTTAAAGCTATCCACACTTTAAAGAACAACAAAGCACCAGGCAAAGACGAACTGCCAGCAGAACTTCTCAAAGTAGATCCCAACACAACTGCTAGCATTCTAGAACCATTGTTCAAGGATATTTGGGAAAAAGAAGTGTTGCCTGATGAATGGACTGAAGGAACAATAGTCCAAATCCCCCAAAAAGGAGACTTAACAGACTGCAATAATTGGAGGTGAATTACTCTACTCTCAGTACCAAGCAAAATATTTTGTAAAATCATCATAATGGGGCTTGAAAAAGGAGTAGATAAATGCTTACGAGTGGAACAAGCAGGATTCAGAAAGGGCAGAGGAACAACTGAACACATCTTCGCCATACGTAACATTTTTAGAACAATGCAATGAATGGCAGGGAAGTATATACATACATTTTGTGGACTTTGAGAAGGCTTTTGACAGCGTCCATAGGGACAGTCTTTGGAATATTTTATGACATTATGGAATTCCAGAAAAAATAGTCAACATAATTGCTCTCTCCTATAAAGACTTTTCCTACAGTATAAAAAATTACAATACATCTTTCCCAGTAAAGACAGGTGTAAGACAGGGATGTGTTATGTCATCTCTCCTCCTCAACCTTGTGATTGATTGGAAACTAAAGAACACAGTAGACAGGACATTGAGAGGCATACAATGGACTCCATTCACCATGCTTGAGGACGTTGATTTTGCAGATGATATAGCACTCCTGTCACACAGGACATACAGTCACGTCTGAACAAAGCTAGAGCTGCTTTTGGAAGGATGAGACAAATCTGGAAATTCAACAATTACTGCAGAGGAACGAAACTGTGACTCTACAAGAGAATAATTTTGCTAGTTCTTCTTTATGGAGCGGAATGCTGGAGAAAGACAAAAAAGGATGCACACAAGCTGTACACCTTTCACCACACATGTCTACGTAGAATTATCAAAATTTTCTGGCCAGATACAATCTCAAACACTAAACTACTTCAAGTCACAAACCAAGAAACTTTAGACAGTACGTTAACCAAGAGAAGATGGAAATGGCTTGGCCATGTTTTGTCATGAAAACTGCAATGAAGATTGCATAGGACAGGAAAGCATGGAAAGTAATCTCTGAAGCCTCATGTGCCACTAGGTATAACGAGAACTGATGACATGTGAAAGCTATTAAGCTGTCTCTCCTGGTGCAAATAGGTTGACCAAGTTTCACTGCCATAAAGCAGAGTGCTGAGAACACAAGCCTGATAGACAAGGGTTTTTGTTTTAATTGTGAGCTTTCTGTTCTCCCACTCTCTTTGTCAATCTGCTCATTTTTGTTGCTGCCTTACCTACCCTGATATTGATTTCTTGGTCCAGCGATACTTTACTATTCACTGTGGAACCCAGATAGGTAAAATGGTCTACTGTCTCAAGCTCTTCACCGTCAATGTAGACTGTAGGTCTGTCATTGACACCTTGCACCATAACCTTTGTCTTCTTTTTTGCTGACTGTAAGTCCAAATTCATAGCACACATCAGCAAAGGCAGATAGTAAACATTGCCGCTCCTTCTCTGAGTGGGTGGTTATTGCGGCATCATCTGCAAACAGCAGCTCTCTGATAAGTATCTTTCTTATCCTGGTTTTAGCCTTCAGCCTGCGAGCATTGTAAAGGCTGTCGTTAGATCGAGAATGAATGAAAATAACACCCTCCTGATCTCGAAGGGCAAGCATCGTAAGAAGTGAGAAGTATATTCCAAAGAGGGTAGGAGCAAGTAAACACCCCTGCTTCACTCCATTTTTTATTAAAAACTCCTTTGATGTTACACCATCAAAGTTTATTGTACCTGTGTGGAACGACTCAATAATGCTCAGTAGATTAGGTGGACACCCAATCTTCTTCAGTGTGTTGAACAGACTTTTTCGACTAACCAAATCTAATGCCTTGGTAAGATCAATAAAAGCAACATACAGTGGTTGATTTTTTTGTGTGCAGAATTATTTTTGGCAACTGTCTTAATCAAAATATCATATCAGTGGTAGATCGGTTCCCACGAAAGCCACACTGGGACTCTGGGTAAACGCGATCTCCCAGGATCTGGAGTCTTCACATAACAGTTCTCGCAAGCACTTTTCCAACAGTACACAGCAGTGATATTCCCCTGTAGTTATTGCAGTCACTTTGATCACCCCTGTTCTTGTACATAGTTATGATGCTTGCATCTTTGAAGTCTTGCGGAACCTCTCCCTCTTGCCAGCAGAGTGTTATTAGCTGATGGATGTGTGGGGCTAGAATGTCTTTCCCTTCCTGATGATTTCAATAGGAATTCCATCTCTGCCTGAGGCTTATCCCGAAGCCAATTCATCAATAGCATTCCCAACTTCTACAACTGTTGAAAATATGTCCATGGCATAAAGAGCACCATCTGCTAGTTTAGTATCAACTGAGTAAAGCTCCAGATAATGTTCCATCCATCTATCTAGTTGCTTTTTCTTGTCATTAATAATCTCCCCATTCAAATTCTTTAATGGTACACTTTTTTTTAAAATAGTAGGACCCATGGCCTTCTTGATCCCCTCATACATGCCTCTAACATTACCATCACTGCAAGCATTTTAAATGTTTTCACATAGCTGGATCCATTAGTTGTTGCCACACTGCCTAGCATTAACTGCGACCTACTCTTTTTTTATGATCATCAACATCATCATAGTTCCATAACACTACATGGCGGTTTGAGGTATGTCCATTCAGCAAAATTCTATATTCAGATCTTTCTTAGTCTGACTCTCTTTTCCTCTTCTGCTCTACCAAGCCCAATAGTATTGTTCTGGAGAGACTAGTAGATTTTATTTCATATTCACTGTTGCATTTTCAATCATTTTAGTGCTAATAACAGAGATTAAAGTTGCCACTGTATTGATTGATGATGAGGTAAACTTCATAATTTGTGATGTTATAACAAGGATCTTTCAAGATCATTTTTTTTTCAATGCTTGTATTTTCTTTTCAACCTCGGATGTTTTGTCACAGCCATGTGTAAAGGTACTGACAGCAAGTGCTTTAAGCTGTCATATTTTTGAATTACATGAGATGTTTTTAGATCTCTATTCCATAGTACCTGCTGTTTAGTTTAGTGAGTCAGAGGTTGTGGACAGAACAGGCTTCCACCTGGAAATATATCTCTTCTTCATTACGTCCTCTTTAACCGCTTTTGGTGTCAAAGGAGATATAAGATCCTGCTTCATGCTCTTCTGGCTGCTTCAACTATAGACACATCGTGGTGCTGTAAAGTTTCTCTGATGTTATCTTTCCATCTTGTTCTTGGTCTACGTCCATCTCCTCTTTTGGTATATGCCTTGTATGGTATAGCATCATGAGGTATTCTCTACAAGTGGGAAAACCATTTGATTTGCTGTCTTTGTATGCAATTTAGAATTGGTTTTGTGTTGACTTTATTTTGTATGACCTCATTCCTGATTTTATTTCTTCTGGTCACTCCTACAGTCTTTCTCAGACACCTCATTTCTATGGTCACTAATTTTTTTTTATGTTTTGTTGTGAGTGAGCATGTCTGGCACTGGTAGCATAAAGTGGGAATGAATATGCTTTGTGTGAGATGTCTCTTTGTGCTGATTACGATTACCTTATGCTGTAAGATGGGAGCTAGCTGTCCAAATACTTGGCTTGCTTTACTGCATTGGATGTCTATTTCTTCATCCAATTTACAATCTTCAGTGAATGGTGATAGATGAGAATGTCCCAAGACATATACATTCAGATGCTGTTTTTATATGTTTACTCTAATGCTATGTTTAAACCATGTTGCTTTCTTCCTTTTGACATTACTTCGGTCTTTTAGATGTTTTCCTTTAACATTGTCATGGTCAAATGCCATTTGATCAGTCCGTTTATATCTCATTGTTCTTGTTGTAGCGGCATTATATCCACTGCCGGCTTGCTAGGCCTGTCACAACTTTACCAAAGCCTCATTTGCCAGGACGTTTCGGGGTGACCCAGGATGGTCTTCATTGCTACTGTAGCGGTCCCGTGGCACAAAGCCACACAATACTTCGCCGAATCCTAGCAATCCCCTACTTTGTCCTGTTACCACCTCTCACGGCGGGGATGTTGGATTGACAACAGATAAGAAAACACTGGAGAAAAGAGAGCTATGAGTTGTCTCGAAAGAAGGTTGTCCACCTCAAGTGCTGGAGGTCCTGGACTCAAGCCCCGGTGAAGGCGAGAATTTTTTACACAGACTTCTAGTAATTACCCCTTGTCTCTGTGTAGTAAGATCGGACGCCTGTGTATTTTCTTGCGCATGTAAAAAAAAAAAATCCCTTAGCAGTTGGAAATTGAAAACAGTAGCCTAATAGTGCTGCCCGGGCAAAATTTGGAGTTTGAAAAATAAATCTACCCTAAAGTATTTCAGAATCCTCACCGGTACAATTAAGTTTGTGCACTGCGCTGAAATTCTTTAGACCCAAGGTTGAGTTAGAAGTAGAACAGAGCACTTATAGGTTACACCCATGTGTCATGATGTTGATACATTGAATAAACGAATAAATGAATAAAACACCACAACAGTAAGCTAATCATGCTGTGAATCCTTGTTATTCTGACACAGCTGGTATTGATAAGGTAGACAGGCCTAGGGAAGAGCTGACAAAAACAACTGCATGCAGCAAGAAGACTCAAAAACAGTTACTCAGCAAATAAAAATTACAAATAATGAAATCTGGTTGAACAGATGGACCACTGTAGACAGGCCTGAAAATGCACAACCACAAGGAGGTATTTCTGAGATCAATTGTAGCCAACCTTCACTGTGATGATGCCTGACTGATTCATTTATAATTTAGCAAGGACCATGTTATAATTGTTACTAATTTTATGTTATATCTTTTCCTCACATCCCTTTAACCATGCGATGTACGGAATCTTAGCTAATTATTGAAAAGCAGACAAAGCAAAGATGACTATTCAAATGTTTAGAGTTCATGCAGATGTGTGAGTTCATGTATTTGTTATACTTTTATTAACATAGTGAATAGTGTGAATTGCCTGAAAAAAATAATGTAATAAACAGGTTTCACTGCAATATACAGGTAATATGTACTTAAGAGAAAACTGTAATTGTCTTCAATGAAGTATGAAAAGATGAAACAGTCTCAAACCAAAAATAAAAAATGCTTTTTACTCAAAATTACTTCAGTTGGCAAAAAAGGTTACTGAAATTAGCATTTTACACAATCTACCTTATTAAAATAGTACAGTTTAATATTAAAGTAATGAATAGGAATTCTCACATTATGCAACTTGTATTGGCGGCATGTAATAGAACGTTTGAAAAATACTGGACAAGACAATATGGAAAAATAAGCCTACCACCAGAGCCAGATATAAAATCCCCTTCACATTCTCCTGTCTTAGCAACTTCTATGAACACCCGCTGGTCACATGAATATTTGCGCATCTCACATTCATTGACGTATGACTGCTCATCACTTCCACATACTGGCTCATGAACTGTTGGGCACATTATGGGACATACACATATTCCATTCTCACACTTGGCATTGAAGTCACAATGGATGCCTTTACATTTATCTGTGAAAAATAACAAAAAATAAAGTATATCAGTTTAATATAAGTTTAAAATACATGTATTCTATAGGATTTATCATCATCATCATGTTGTGGAGTTTATTCATCACATAGGAACAATCAGAATACATTTGCTTTTCATAAATTTAGCAGGTACTTTGCATAAATACCTTTAAAATTCCATATCCACAAACATGCCGGCCAACCCATGCTTCCTCTTCTAGGAATCATATCCTCTGTTTTTTCCTAAGCCACTATTATGTTGAACTTTTTCAGTCTCAAGGAACTCATCACACGCTAATTAGTTACCACACAGCCAACCTGCCAGCATATGATGTGTACAGATATTTAATTTATCACTGGCAAATATCAAAATGCAAACCACCAGTTTTGAACCATATTTTCTATTGTGTTCTGTACCACAAGTTTAATTTATCACTGGCAAATATAAAAATGCAAACCACCAGTTTTGAACCATATTTTTTATTGTGTCCTGTACCACAAGTGTTGACAATTAGATGTATTCAGAAACATGGTTAACATAATAAAATATGACATGTTTGTGAGTTTTAATGCGTAACTCTGTTTGAAAACACTATGGCCTCCAAGCAGACTTCTTCATGCATACCAACAAGATTTACGGCTACAGAAGCCTCTCATTGAAAAAAAAAAATAAAGCATGTGCTTATCAGATTTACCCGAAGCTAGACAAACAATTTGTGAAGTAGACTTGTTTCAATCACTGATAGAGTCGAACTGTGATGAGGGATAGCTCTAATATGTGCCTCGTACATAGCCTACAATGATAACAAAGTCAGCTGGCATAAAGACAAAAAATATTAGTTAAGTCTGGTGCAATTCCTTTATTATTTTGGAACACAGGCTATAAAATTACAGGCTATAAAATTACAGGCAAACTGTGTGCTTTATAAAGTTTGTTTTTTGTGGTGTGCAAATACTGATTGTTCTCGGAAGTCATTTTTCTTTATAAACAAAATGGTGTTCTGTTATGGTGTTCCAAAGATTTATCTGGGATGAGATCTAATGTATAAATTGCAATTATATTCTTATTTAAATGTTACTAAGTGGTTCATGTTCATTTCCGATTCATTTTGGATAAAATTTATTGAGTTTTCTTTGAGCGCAATGATGGTAAGTGGACAAATTCTAATTTAATTTTACTAATTTATCTAAACATGTAGTCTATTTACTTATTAATATTTAATTACTAACATAACTATTTGTTGTAGCAGTATTTTAATAGTATTCCCCAACAATCCCTGGCCACTTTGATGTATATGTGTGTATGTTGAGGCAGCTGAATTAGTAAGGTATGTTTTAATGTTTAACACTTGTGACATTTCAAAACTGCATTACCACTCCTTGGTCATCTGATGCTAATCCTCTTTGGGACTCAAAAAGTTAAAGCATTTTAATTTATATTATACCTTATTCCAAGTGAGTGTTTTAAATGCAGATCTGGTTATTTTTAGCTTCATGGCAGTCTTTGGTTTTGCACAATTTTTGTTTAATTTTCTGCTTGTCACATTCAATGTCAACATGCTTAGACATACTAATAACATAATGCACACTCATTAACAACTTACCACAAGAACCAGCTGAAGCAATAGTTAAAAACTTCTTTTGCCGACAAGACTCAACTCTTAATTCACACTCATTTGCGTATGTGACACCATCATTTCCACACACAGGGGCATCCACCTGGGTAATAGTAAATGAAAATCATGTCTGCTGCTAGACAAACATCAGTGATACAGCCTGCTGCTGTTCAGTGTATTATTAATTTTCTCTTATAAAATTGTCAAGAACTTGTATTACTGGTGTTTAGGATAGGTTCTTGTAAGATATATCAGAAACATTTATAGACTAAAGAGCTTTGAAGAGTGGGACACTACCCCCTCCACTCCCACCCATTTCCCCCCGCCCTTCCCCATCTCAAACATTTCAATGTGTTATGTGGGAAGATTATTTGCATTTACAATTACTTCTGCAGCGATTTTAACTTGATGCTTTAAAAAATTTAAGTCTGGCGATATGATGTTTCACCCGTCAGTGTCATATCTGATACATGATGACAAGAAATAACTAGAGGTTCATTGCATGAAGGCTTAAGAATGGTATATTATAGTAATTATTTATTACTAAAAATTTACATTTCAATTTACAAAACTTTCCAGAAAAAATATCATTAGAAAATCATAAAGTATATACCAACTGAACAGAAAACAATTCAATAATCAAAGGAATTTATGGCGATAAGCCTTCATCATCAAATAACAGTTACAAATAAAACAAAACAGAAAAATGGAAATGAGCTGAGTTCAGTTGAGTTTCCTCTGAGTGTAGTGAGCTGGCCAGACCCTCTGGTTACACTCTTGTGCCTCATTCTCTACAGGCCATAATAATAATCTTGTTTTTCTACTGATTCCGTTGCTTGTTCCCAAAAGGCCTTGACCACATTTGCCTTGTCATGTATCAATTCATCATCCAGTGGTGCAGATTCAGCCAATCTGTCTGCCTGTTCATTACCCACCATGCCAGCATACCCTGAAGAAAAGATATAAAGTAAGCTCACTACCCGAGACCTTCCCAGTGAAGCTTGCAAATCTGCTCGAAGCATCCCTGCCTTTACCTTTCTCAGCATGCTTTTATAGTGTTAAAATTACATTATGTGTATGCATCTTGTTCTCTAGCCACCAGAGAGCTGCAGTTTCCGCCTCCACCTCTATTCTCATGCTAGATGTTGTATTAAGTCTTATGAGTCACATGACTAAGATTTTACTAAAAATAGTTATGAGAAGAATAAGAAACAAAATTTAACCTGAAATCAGCGATGAACAATGTGAATTTGTAGAAGGAAAAGGTACAAACAATGCCATATACATCCTAAGGACAATGTCAGAAAGAGCTATAGAAGTAAAGACTGATTTGTACTTATGCTTCATAGACTATACAAAAGCATTTGACTGTGTGAAGCATGAAGAAGTAATCAAAAACATTGATGGAAAAGATCTACAAATAATAAAAAATACGTATTGGCAGCAAACAGCAGCTATAAGAATTAACAACTGTTTAGGTACATTTCAAAGCATAAAGAGGGGTGTACGACAAGGATTTGCACTATCACCTGATTTGTTTTCAATATACAGTGAATAAATAATGAGATCTTTAATTGATATGCCCAGAATTTTTGTTGGTGGGCACAATATAAACAATTTACGTTATGCTGATGACAAAGTCTTGATAGCAACAAGTCAGAAAGAACTACAGGAAATGATAGACATTGTGGTGTTAGAAAGTGGAAGAATGGGCCTCAGTTTGAATAATGGGAAGACAGAAGTAATGGTGGTATCAAAGAAACAAATTATTCCTAAATGTGTAATAAAAGTGGATGGTGTTATTTTAGGACAAGTACAGACATTTAAGTATCTGGGCACATGGATAACATCAGATGGAAGATACATAATTGAGATAAAAAACAGAATAGAACAGGCAAAAACTGCATTTTATAAAATGAAGAATATCTTGTGCAATTTATCCTTGTCATTGAGAGTTAGAAAAAGAATTCTTGCTTGCTATATACATCCAGTTTTAACATATGGCTGTGAATCCTGGACAATCAGTAGGCAGGCCAAACAATTTCTTGAGGCCTCAGAGATGTGGTTTTACAGAAGAATGCTTAGAATACCTTAGACAGCCGAAAAGAGCAACCAAGAGGTTTTGAAAGAGGCGGGAGCCCGAAGACAACTTATCACAGACATCAGAGGGAGACAGTCATCATTTTTCAGCCATGTTATGAGAAGAGGGAAAATAGAAAATGTTGTGACCACTGGAAAGTTCTGTGGAAGGAGGGATAGAGGAAGACAACGAGAGGAGATTCTTGACAGTCTTGTTGCATGTCATGGAGGTGTGTCGGCACACGAACTGATACATGCTGCAGGAGATCGCGGATTATGGAGAGGCATGATAGCCCACGCCAGTCGGCTATGCACCTGATGATGATGATGAGATGTTGTAGTATCAAATGCTAGGCTGTCTTGCACTAAAGATTTTCCATTGGCTTTCGCTACAAACCTCCAGGCACTTCTCTTTTTTCTTAGCACCGAACCATCTTTATAGATAATCAGATCACCTGGGCGTGAATTATCGTGAATCAACTGTTGGACTTCCACCTGTAGCACCTGCTGGCCACTCTCTGCACTCCCGGCCCAATGTTATCATAACCCTACACAGGTTAGACCTCTCCTTTAGTTAGTTAGTTAGTTAGTTGGGTTATCATCATTGCACTCCGGACATGTCCATAGGTGCTCAGATCCTCCTCTCAGAATGAACCCCAACGTCCGATGGCTAATAGTACCAGTTCTATGTTGATTAACAAGTCTTCTGACGTGTCCGGTGTGCGTCTCGTTTTTTGCTGTGCCGATCTTAATTCCCAAGTCTGCCATTCTGGCGAGTGATGTGGATTCACTGCCACCAAAGTCCTCTATCCTTCCCATTTCTCTGAGGGCATTGATAATATCAGCATGATCCATAGGCCGACCGTCAGTAGTGATAGCGGATCCAGCCAACCTGTCAGCTCTTTCATTTCCATCGACGCCTGCGTTCCCGGAACAAAAATAAAGGTGACTCCACGCACAGTGGACTTCTGAAGTGATTCAAGCCATTGTCTTCGCACTGAACCTGCCTGAACCCTCCGGATCATACTCATTGAATCACTGAGTATACATATGCGGGTGTATTTTTGTGTTTCGAGCCAGGCAAACGCTTGCGTCACTGCCATCACCTCCATCGTCATGCTGCTGGTTGTCATGGAGAAGGCGCCGTTGGCTTCTTTGACTGTTCTGCCCACTGAGCTTGCTGTAAATGCCCATGCGCTTCTTCTTTGGCGTATAACGGATCCGTCTAGATTAGTGCATCTGCTTCGTCTGAATTTTCACCGATGAGAGCGTTGACCTCTGCATTAACAGCAACAGGATTCTCTTCTCTACATTGCCTGTTGAGTGTGACAATACAGGAAAATGTACAATTAAACGCCTGAGGCACAGGTATCCATTCTGCACCAGGTATGATGTCGGTTAGGCTGCATATTTGCCTAATAACATCTTCTGCCTGACCTAGCCACGATTTTCCCCTCTTCAGTCTGTCACCCTTTTCACTAAAAAGCGCTGGATGCAGTGGGTGTTTCTTATCAGCACATATTTTGAGGTATGCCCGAGCCCTCCACATCCTGATCCTTTGGTTCATTGTTGGAAAGTCAAGTAGATACCTCATTGCTCCACATGATGTGTCTCTTGTGCATCCCAAAATAATGCGCATGGCTTCATTTTGCACCTTTTCGAGTCGTTCAATCTGGGTAGCACTGACAGTGAGGATGGCCAGAGCGTATTCAATGGGGGAAAGGACCAGACCGTAGAATAGAAGTATTAGTAGTCTTTGCTCGATATTGGAAGCAGCCATAATCCTCATTGCAGATAGACCTTTGCGTGCTTTTGTTATCACATGGTCAACGTGTTCCCTGAATGACAAGCTGCGATCGAACCTCACCCCGAGAAACGTCATAACGTTGGTTCTGATCAATACATTATCACGCATTTTCACTTCTGGTAAGTCCAACTTGACAATGTGATTGTTCAAAGAGAACCATGACACTGATGCCTTCGAAGGATTGACATAGGCATTGGAACCATCACACCAGGCGGCAATTCGATCGAGTTCTTTGTGCATTGTGCTGGCGATCTCCTGTCTATCACGCCCTCGTTGATAAATCGAAATGTCATCAGCAAATGACAAAGTCCTTCCCTTTCCATTCAACTGCTGCTCAGTGATCATCACCGTATACACGTTGAATAAGACTGGTGATAGCGGTGATCCCTGTGGCAAGCCTGGACATATCGTTTGCGGTTCTGAGGACCAGCTACCACATCTTAGTACAATCTTTCTCTGGAACAGGACCGCAGCAATCCAGCGGATCAGAATAGGATTGACTTCTAGTTTAAGCAGTAATTGCATTAAATAATCATATGGTACTTTATTGTAGGCATCTTCTAAGTCCAACACTGCCGCACATGTCTCTTCTTTAATCTGAAATCCCTCGTACACATCGTAGGCGAAAACTGCAGCATTGAACCATGTCTCTTTCTTCAACCTGTATCCTCCATGTGTTGATGGGAACTTATCATGTAGTTCCAAGTAGGTGGTCAATCTTTGTGCGACAATTTTTTCCCAAAAGTTTGCCAACAGTATTCTGCATCGAGATGATTCTGTAGCCGCAGATCTTTGAGTGGTCTTTATTAGGCTTTGGTAGTGGGAACAAATAACTATGGAGCCATTCCTCTTGTATCTGGCCACTCTGGATGCTGATATTGAATTCTTTTGCCACGCTTTTCAAATCAGCATTCAACATCATCAGCATGTCATTGTATCGGATGCCGTCAGGGCCTGGAGCAGTGCTGCGCGATTTCTTGAGGCAAGTTCTTAAGGTGTCTGCAGTGATTGTGAAATCAGTGCCTAGCTCAGTGTTCTCGCACAGCATCGACAGTTTCATCTTAACCCCTATTCTTGCAGCTTTGTCTTTTTGGTCAGTTTGCTCCAAGTAGCGCGCAAGAAGGGTTTTTCCTTTATCAGCATCAGTTCTCTGCCATATCAGGTCTGTACCCTGAAAATCAGGGATACCCCTTGGTCGTGCGGCGCCGTGCATGCTCCGTTGAAGGCGCCAGAATGTCACAAGAGATCCCTCGGAGCAAACGCTCTTGCAGAATTCGTTCCATTTCGCTGTCTTGGCTTCTTTCGCAATTAACTTGAAAGCCACTGTCCGCTTGTTGACCTCATCTTTCAGACTGATCAGGCGTTCAGAAAGTGACGGATCAATTTTCCTTGCCTTTTGCCATGCCTTGATAGTGTTCCTTTTTTCTAGCCACACCATGTTGACTACTTCATTCCACCATGGTGGCTGGGCCCATCTCTCCCGCCGTCTGCGATCTGCTCTTGTTTTACGTCATCTGATTTTGCTAATGGCATCTTGCCCTGTACGGTCATATATAAAAGCAGGCACATTGATTGCATGAACTTTGTTGTTGCTCTTCTCCACCAGGACGACGCAAGGAAAGTGATCACTGTCATGGTATCCCAGTGTGCTCCACCTGCATCCTGATGCAATGGAGGGAGACACTAGGGCCAGGTCAATTACGCTGTCAGAATCCCCTTGTCGGGTTGCCATTCGGGTAACCTTTCAGTCGTTCAAGCATACTAGATCGGCAGACACTAGGGCATCCTCCAGGTCTTCCCCCTGTTTATTGGTGATTACATTGCCCCACTGGTTTCCTCTGGCGTTGAAATCTCCGCAGTAAAGGACTTTCTTTTCCTCAGTCTGGAGCAAACTCTGCCATTTCGCTGTATCCACCTTTCCATTGCAGGCGTACACATTGACAATCCTTTAGTACTCTGACCTACTTCTCTCCTAACCCAATGTTCACCAGCATCTATACTTGTCTTATTGTTTCTTCTACTTGAGCCATCCATGATTTTCCCCTTTTCAGTCTCTGACCCTCACCTGCAGCCAAAGCTTCACACAGAGGGAGCTCTTTGTCTGCAGCTACTCTGACTTAGCCTGCAGCACCTTCAGCCAATCTGCAAAATTTGACAATGCAAGGATCTATCACATGCACACAATCAAGGTGTCTCTTGAATACCCGGGATCACCTGCATAGCTTCATTCTGAATGCGCTCCAGTTTCTCTAGCTGACTCTCCAAGAGTGAGTAACCCTAATCCATAATCAATCACTGAGATGATCAAGTGCTGGTAAAGTGTGAACAGCATTCTCTGCTCCATGTCCATTGCTTCTATAATCTTTAATGCATTAACTCTTTAAGGCCCGAGCAACAGTGTGAGCGTTGATTGAGAAATTTTGTTTTGCTTAAACAGTGCTGTCATTGTCCCATACATATTGCTTCGCACCAGCTCCGTACTTTTTTTCTAATAATCAGAACTACAATTAAAGTATTCAGGAAAAGTCACTCTAACGATTTCCTTTTAACATTCCGTATCCCAAACCACACATGCATAGATTGATCGGATTCATAGCAACATTTTTTCAACAGTGCATTTTCTAATAAAATTCTATTAAGAATTTAGATTTTTCAGAAAGTGATTTGGACGGTCAATTTTCACCAGCGAAGCTGAGCAATCAGCTGTTGGGAATTCATTGATTCTGATGAGTTTACACAGACAACGTCCCATTGCTACCATATTTATGGTGTAAGAGAAGGAAATTACTCCTAACAGAGAAACAGTACTATACTATGGCTAAGCTACACTGAAATCACTGCAGCTACAATCTGTATATAACTGTACAAAGTAAATAGTGTATGTGTAATGGTAAATTTTCCTCTGAAATTGTGCTCAGCACTCTATGAGAACTAACAGCCCCTGTGTGCTAAACTAACCCAGAAACTTATCATAACTTTCTAATTTGTTAGGAAATTGAACAAATTTCGAATTTTTGTTATTTAATTTGGATATTCACTACTCTTGTAGCTGCAGAACCAACTGTAAGTGAAGAATTTGTTGTAAAATTTTGTGAAATTAACACCTGCTGAATTCTTCTTTTCCACTAACTATAACAAAATTAAACATTCACTTATCATCAGATTCAAAATGTACATTTATTTACGTTTATTTATTTTTTTTTTTTTTTACTTTTATAGGGATTAAAAGTATATTACATTCTCTTTTGCCTTTCTTGTACACCACCCCCTCCTCTATTTTTGTAAAGGAAAAATAATGTGGGCCAAGTCTGTCAAAATTCATGGGCCTGAAAGAGTTAAGACCTTTTTGAGCCTTTGTCACAACTCCCTCTATATGATCCTTGAAAGACAAACTTCTGTCAAAGGTGATTCCAGGTATGCAGTCTGCTGTCTCTTTTGATTTCCCTGCCATTTATTTTGAGTCTGGGAACATTAGCTCTAGCAATCCTGTTGTCCAAAGAACACCACAGGATAGTTGCCTTTTCTGGGTTGATTACAGCACTCATCTCTGTACACCAGTTGATAACCTTATCTATTGTTGCCTGTAACTCTTCAGTTATTTGATTTCGATCTTTCTCCTTCCTATATATAAAAACACCATCTGCAAAAGTCAATATTCTGCAACTCCAGGTGTTTCCATGTATGCAATCTTGCTCATAAAAACATTGAACAGTGCAGGTGAAAAATTACAAAATACTTGATTAATTGTGTCAGAAGTTGAAATGTACATACTTTGGATGCAACGAAGAAGTAAATTGAAAAATAAGGTAAAAAATTATAGAAGGAAAATATTTATAGAAAAAATGCTAGACAGCTCTATATCATGCCACATCTATACTGGAAATGATTATTTCTTGTCATGTTGTCCATTATATGTCACATAGGGTTCACAGTCTATTCCTTCATTTCTTTCTATTATGTGCAATCACTCTGATATCATTGATGGAATACATTCCAGCACCTCTGGCTGCTGTCATCTTTAACCTCAGGATTTTTCCTTGAACGTCCTCATTTCCTGAATCCCTTTCTTTCCAATTTTAGTATTTGTGTCATGGACCTACAGTCCATCTGTATGAGTTACAACATCATTGTAAGTCTGATAGTGGTAAGTATGACAATCTTAGCGACAGAAGTCAAGCACAAAATAAGTACTGTCTTTTTCCTGCGAGGCTGAAATGAACACACTGAGACAGGACGTTTTTGGACTTAAGGAAGACGGACTGACCATTCCTGGACTGTGTCATTTAAAAAAAAATAAAAAACTGTAAGTGCCATAGTGATTGACCTGTTGCTATGCACACCATGTAAGTCTTATGTTAACCATCTGGTTAATTCCTAATAAACCAGAACTGTTCAAATTAAAATAGACCATTTGTCTTGTCTGCCTACGTTATTGTACAACCATTTGTGATGTGATTATTCATCAGGTACTTTGTTTATAATTTATGAGCTGTGCTGCTGCCTGTTAGGTCTTTGAGAAAAGCCTGTCCACTCTACACCTTCAGGATTCCATGTTTTGGTAACTTTCTTACTCGAGCCAAGGCAAATTCATACAGACAACTCTATGACAGCCTGTTTATTTATTCTCTCCTCATTTTCTCTCAGTATCTGTCAAATACAGCACCATCACCAGATACTAGCAGTTGCCAAGACATTTCTTTTATTTCTTCACCCTTCTTGAATACATCCCATTTTATGTTCATCCTTTTCCTCAGGCATTTGTTTTCCAATGCATTTAACTTTCATGTCAGGTTCTCCAACGTTCATTGGCTTATGTTAAAATCTAAAAAACATTAAAGTTGAAAATAGATTAGATGGTTTCATATTTTATTCAGGATTTTGAAAATTGCTGATGCCTTGCCAGTGTTTATCATAATTTATATCTTTGTGTTTTTTTTTCCAACTACCTAAATGCGTCAACTGTTCTTTACTTTAATTCTCTTTTTTTCTCCTGTGTAACATCTTTTTTGGCCTGTTACTTATATCCTAAATATAGGTCTTTTAGTAAATTATTTATAGCACAAGTTGTGATGCTATGTGCTACTAAATTATCTGGGTTTTTTTTTTTTAGGGTGCTTAGCAAATAATAATATCTGCAAAATTGAGACCTTCCTAATTGTGTGTTCTCCACTCTGTCAATGCTAATGTTTCCAAAACAACCTTTTTATATCAGCCAGGCAATAACTTCCCTAACAACACAGAAGATCAAATGCATTCCTGTTTCACTCCAAACACTGCAAAACAATCACTTAAACTATCATTCATTCTTGGAAACGATTATGAACACATTAAAAATGAGCTGTCGAAAAAAAAATGACAACAGACAAGAAAATTGCAAAACACATAAAAGCTTAGTAATTAAATTAAAAAGTACCTTTACACAGGATGTTGGGCAAATACACCTTGGCTTGCCATTAAAACTTTCACACACGGCATAAAATTCACATCTCTGCTGTCCACAACCATCTGAGTAAATACAAGCATTAACAAAGTGATTTCAATAATTGTGCCTATGTTTGTATTAAAACAGGAGACATGTGTGCTCTAAACATTCTCAGAGCTATACTGGCAGAGAACATGTGCCCCTGGCAGGTTTTACCAGGTCGGACAGATCTTGAGAAAAAAGATTAAATGAAATTAGCACCCTGCTCCTCAGACATGGGCTTTGGGCATTGAATTAGCTTACAAAAGCACCATTATTGTTTTTTAAAAAAAACAGTATCCTGTTAAGGAAAAACAGAATGAAGTAATAATATTGTACTGGTGGAAAGAGGTGAAACTAGTGAGACAAGCGGAGAATATCAGCTGTGGGATCAGAGCCGAAAGGAATTTCAACAGTCAGACTGAAACTTCTTTCTCCCTAAGACCTTCAGTGTTGAATGCTGGAATGTTAAAACATTGTACAAAGCTGGAAAAGATTAACACGTTTTTAATTAGATGTACCAACACAATGTACATTATCACTAGTAAATGTTATCAAAAGAAGAAGATGGAGAAGACTTGAGAATTGTTTGTGGAATGCCTCATAACACTTTGGCAAGGACAGCTCTCTGATGGATGGCAGATGGAAAAAGGAGACTGGATGGTCTAAGAAAATCTGGAGAAGGGAAGTCGAAATTGAAATACGGAAATGCAAAATGAAATGATATACCACTGGCAGAAAAGCAGCAGACCGGCAAATACAGAGGTCACTTGTGAATGCCTTATATGTCAACAGCAGGATAAAGAGGATATAGAGGGTATTCAAATTCATTTTTTTAAATGTTAAAAAAAGCTTTTCATGGAAGATTTTTGTATGTGGTTAACCAATTTAATATTGAGGGAACTTGTACTAATATTCACACTTGTTTGTAATATTTATGCTATTGGAAAAATCACTGTTATCACACGATATGCAGCTGGACATTTAAAAAAAAAAAATGACACAATTTGTGAGATATAAACCCAAGCATCATTTTTTATGAGCGAGGGGAAGTCAAAATGTATCTTCTTACATGTCCACAATGAATTCTGTCCTTGCTTATTTTATTGTTATATTGTTGTTGTAATGCTGTGAAAGTCTGATCCTAATTCCATCATTTTCTTCCTTCTGTTGCAGACAGATCATGGCCACTCCATCAGAAGTTTGCACCAAAGAAGAACAAATTGCAATGATAAGATTCTTCTGATCAGAGGATGTCAAAAGTTTAGAAATTCATCATAGACTATCGTCGCAATATGGGTGGGGGTGGGGGGGGGGGGGGGGGGGGGGAGTGCACTATCATGTAAAACTGTTTTTGTGTATCGAGAAGTTTAACAAGTGGTCAAACAAGTGCAATGCATGAAGCAGGAGCAGGACACCCATCAACCTCCACTACAGATGACAACATTCAGCAAGCTCAAGAGATGGTTCTGCTGAATTACCACTGATGTGCTCCCATCTGCATTAAACACTAGTCATGGTTCTGGATATAAAATCATCCATGACGAGCTCAGCTTTCATAGTCTGCCTCAGACTTATAAGTGCAACGTGCCGTGCCAAAGTGCCTTCTCAAACAACTGAAAACCTTATATATGGAAGGAATACTTTAGCTTGTTGATGGCTAGGCAAAATGCATTGATAAGGAAGGAGATTATGTAGAAGCATGGTGCAAGCCTAGCTTCATGTAAATAAATTGTAGAATGAATAGTGTAGATTGCTTTTGACTCTCCCTGGTATAACCATAGATACTCTTGACTATAGAGACATTTACAAACTGGATGGATTTAATCAAAGATATCTATTTCACTAACACAAGCTCATGGACAAGTTGACCTACTTGTCTCAAGATCAACATCTCTCTCTCAGAGGGAGGGTAGGTAATAATAGAAGAGAATGTGAACAGTTTCTAGGTTCACATAGAGCAAAGAACAGTGATAGAAATTGAAATGGTCAATGAATATTTGATCTATGCAGCAAGCCCATCTTTTTATTATGAATTCATTTTATGTTTAACCATAGAGCCTAATAACTTTATATTTGATAAATAAAAGTACTGACACCTCCATCAAGAGCCAGATTGACTTTATACTTACTAGAATTAAAGGAAGAAGGAGAATTCTTGAAGCAAGGGTAATCTCTAATAGTCTATGAGACAATGACCTTAAAACAGTTTGCGTTTGTATCTTCTTTGTTTAAATTTATAAGGGGGTTTGCATTTGTATCTTCTTTGTTTAAATTTACAAGGGGGAACCACAGGTTTGATTTTATTTGGTAAGTAAAGTGATGGACTAACAGTAAAACATGTCACATTCAAGGACCGCAGAAAGAAATTACCACAAAATCAAGATCTCGTCAAAAAAGCAAATTTAAAACAATAAGGAGTAAAAGAACAGTTACAAAAGAAAGCAGAGACAGCATTCAGACAAATATCACCTGCAGTGGGAAATGTTGTCAATTTCTGCTAATGCCGCTAGGCGTCGCAGTTCATCAGACAATCGGCAGCCGAGCCAGGGCACAATCAGTCACTTGACATGCTGTGATGATATGCAGTCTCAAGGTGTCAGTGACTCCTTCAATCCTTCTTCTTCTCAGTCTTCGCCTGCCTTTTGATGTTTCAATTTTCAAGCTGTACGCTGTTGCTGCTGGCATAGTTTGTTTCATTCTCATTAGATGGCCAAACCATTTAATTCTTTGTTTCTCAATAAATTTGACGATGGGTGTTGTTCCAACACTTTATGTGATCACGTCGTTTCTCACTTGATCTCTTCTGGTTTTATTCACAACCATTCTCTAACATCTCATCTCACAGGTGGTTATTTTCTTTCACGTTTTTTTTTTGTCAATGTCCAACATTGGTAACCTAAAGTCGGTATAAATGTTGTATTTATAATTTGTATTTTTGTCTCTACTGGGATAGCTGGGTGTTTTAAAATTGGAGCAAGTTGATACATGACATTGTTGGCTTGCTGGATTCTCAATTCTATCTCTCTGTCTATTTTACCATTATGTGTAAAATATGCTTCCCAAGTATTTAAATTCCTGCACTTGTTTCAGACATTGATCATTGATCTTTACATCGCTGGTTTGTTGCTCTCTACTTTTTCTCATGACTTTTTTTTTTAAAAATACTGTCGTGTAGTTGATTTTTGCGATCCTGCAGCTGTTTACTTTCATTGTGGAATATGCACTGATCGTCAGCAAAGAGCAACTCATTGAAGTCCTCCTGTTTATTGCTGTTTACTTTCATTGTGGAATATGCACTGATCGTCGGCAAAGAGCAGCTCATTGAAGTCCTCCTGTTTATCGCTGTTTACTTTCATTGTAGAATATGCACTGATCGTCGGCAAAGAGCAGCTCATTGAAGTCCTCCTGTTTATCGCTGTTTACTTTCATTGTGGAATATGCACTGATCGTCGGCAAAGAGCAGCTCATTGAAGTCCTCCTGTTTATCGCTGTTTACTTTCATTGTGGAATATGCACTGATCGTCGGCAAAGAGCAGCTCATTGAAGTCCTCCTGTTTATCACTGTTTACTTTCATTGTGGAATATGCACTGATCGTCGGCAAAGAGCAACTCATTGAAGTCCTCCTGTTTATCAACATCTAGTTGTGGTGTTACGTCTATTTTAATAATGCTGTCCATGAATATTATATATTTTTTTTTTCATTTTTACTGTTTGGTAATCTGGTAATGAAGCTGAAACTAGGATTACCAGATTACCAAACAGTAAAAATGAAAAAACACACCCTTGCCTTACTCCTGATGTTACTAGGAACCAGTCTGTGAGGCCAGCTCTTGTTCTGACGGCGCTTTCACTTTTTCTATAAATAGCTCTTACACAATCTGGCACTGTTCCATTTATACCACAGTTTTCAAAGACAACCCATAGTAAATCTCTGTTCACTCTGTCAAAATTCTTTACTTCGATGTTCTTTTGGTGTCCATGTTCGATTGTCTTTTCGCTAATTTCCCTTAGGGTGAAAATAGTGTCAGTACACCCGCTTCCTTTCCTGGATCTGACCTGCATTAGGCTCGGAATCTGTTCTACAATCTAAGATCTAGTTCTTTGTTCCAGAATTTTGGCAAACATTTTACCTATGTGGCTTAAAAGGAAGATGCTTCTATAAGTGTTACAGTATTGCTTATTGCCTTTTCTTGTTCATATTGGTACTATAATGGCAATTCACATTTTACGAATTAATTATTTAGAACACAAGACTAATAAATATGTCAGAGACAAAATATACATATTTTCAGGACATCAGGAGCCTCTCTTGGCAGTGGTGAAATGCCAAGGAACACTGGGGAGGAGGGGAAAGTAGTGGTGGGGGGTGGGGGGTGGGGGGGGGGGTGTAGTTGAAGAAGTGGAGGGCAAAGAAGAACCTGGAAAGACATAAAAAAATGGACAGGACTAAGTTATCATACACTTTTGAATCTAGTCGAAGATAGAGAAAATTGGCGGGTTTTATGCGCTAGTTCTTCCATCAATACACCTTCACAACCCTAATGGGTCAAGGGTTATGTTATGTTATATTGGCTCTTTGCCAGTCTATTGGTACAGTTCTTTCATTCCAGTCCTTCCTAAATATATGGAGTAGCCAGGTAACTCCAGTTTCTCCACAGGCCTGTATTGCCTGAGCTGTAATTCCATCAACACCAGTAGCTTTATTGTTTGGACTGCACCTGATTGCATCTCTGACTTCTTGTTCAATTATTCCAGGCTGTTCCTCTCGTGTGTATATCTGGGTGTGAATGGTACAGTTCCTTCATTTTCTGTGATGTTCAGAAGAGTTTGGAAACATTCTTTCCATCTTTCTCTGATCTTACCCTCTTCATGTATGGATCTTCCTTGACTTTCACTGACATATTCTGATGGCTGAAATAGGTCATATCTGGTTCTCATTTTTGTAATAGTTTTGTAAAACTGTCTACTAGAATTAGCAGAAAGTTTGGTCAGATTTTCCCCATACATAATCCAGGATGTTTCTCTATACACTATAAAGTCATCATCTGAGCGAGATCTTAGCCATTTCTTGCATTTCTTTAATTTCTCCTTTTTTAATTTTCTCTACTTGTTTAACACTATCATTCCACTATGCTGTTCTTTTCCTCAGTGTTCCTCCTGTCTGTCTAATAGCATAGTATTATTAGGCAGTTTAGAAGCGTACTCTTAAATGTTTGCCATGTTGTTTCTATACTGTCACTAGTTGTTAGCTCCTCCATCTTCACCGTTATTTCTGCCCTATAATTTGCTTGGTAGTCTAAGTTTTTTTTTTATCAGTCATTGTGGTACGTACTACTGCCTTTGCTTGTTTTTGCTGATTATTGCTTCGTGTAGATATACAACCAGTGGTTGATGGTCAGTATTTAATGTGACAGTTGGAATTACTCTTGCATCTTTTACCGATTTCCTCCTCTTTTGACGATTCAGTACGAAGTCCAGCTGTGTGGCCTAGTCTGGGTTGTCCGATTTATACCAGGTGTTTATCTGGCTCTTGCAATGTTTATAGAAACTGTTGGTGATATAAAGCCCATGATTTGCACAGAGTTCCAACATACGCTGCCATTGTAGCTGCAGTCTGTTGGTGTCTGTATATGGCCGGAGATTTTCTTCCCACAGTGTTTGTCTCTGCCCTGTATGTCCATTTAAGTTCCTCATTACCATTAGATCATCATTTGTGTGTATCTAACTGATGACCTCTGACAATTAGTCAAGTCTTTTTCTTCCAAGGTGTAACCACAATTGGTGGATGCCAATGGCTGCATAATGCTTGTATTTCTTGTTTTTCCATAAAGTCGTAGTACTATGATCCTTTCAGATAATTACTCTATATTTTTTTAAATTTGTTTTGCTATGTCTGGATGGGGAATAAAACCCACCCCATGAGTTGTACTCTGCTCCTTCTTGACACCACTCCAAGTGGTGACATAGTTCTTATGGATTTCTTTTGTTATGTTGCTTTTTTCCTGCAGTCAGATAATCCAAATATATTAATCTTATTGCATTTGCCCAAGTGTCTTTTCCTGGCCTGTAGCTTCCCAGACCTCTTGGGAGAAGCTTTCCCCTTTCCAAAAATTCTTGCAGTTCAAATTATATCAATCTTATGTAGCTTAGCTGGTTTGTTTAAACTAGTGTGAGATGGCTGACCTGTATTCGAGCCATGTTTGTTAGCAGTAGTGGGCAGTACTGATGATAAATGGATTGCATTTTAAACCACTATGCTTAGAATTGCAAAAGAACTATGTGGAAAATTGGAAAGTGGTGAGAAGTAAAAGTTGAGAGAAAACAGAAAAACAATGGATACAATCAAACAGACAATAATATGATGTAAACTATAGACTGCAACAGAGAGAAACCAACTGGAAGGTAGAGAAAGCAAAGCAAACATCCTGGGAACATTTTGGAGAATTATTAGAAGACAATAAGAAAAACAGCCACCAGACTATGAATACGATAGGTAAACCCGCATGCAGACTATACCAGATCTTGGAGGTTGAGGAGTTAATTTTCCCCATCCTTGAAGAATATCGACCCAGGAAGGACACCTAGACCAATGCGTCAGTGTACCAGCATAGGTACTTAGGAAGGGTTTCAGACTGGCATTGAAACAGCAGCCATTGACTTGATGCATACAGCAGTGTTCACTATACTACCTGCAGTAAGACATCAATATTGATCCAACCCTGATTAACTGGATCAGTGGCCCTCTTTTAGAAAGAGCCAAAGTGCTACAATGCAAAACATAGATGTTGAAGCCGTGGAACATCATGCCACGGTTACCTGAGGTGTCACCGCCAGTCAGCTGTTCTATTTAATGTGTACACAACAGGGTCACACGCATGCAGAAGATGGGAACTGGGGCACAGTATGTCCTTTGCCGATGATGTACTGATGTATTGGCAGGGTAAAGACAGGGAGGAGTCAGTTGAAGCACTGCAACAGGAAGTTCACAAATGACCTATGCAGATCGCTCAGTGTTTCCTGGGGTGCAGTATGGATTTGCATTCACAGCACAGGGGAATGGAAAGACAGTAAAAGAAGAAAGTCAAGCATTCAGTTTAACTACATCTAGCATGATGAAGGAGATAGCAGCTGTCACAGAGGAACTCGTATGGCTGCTAGAACAGAAAGTAACTCACGTATTGATAGTGACATACTCAATGAGCATGTTTAAAAAGATCCAAACTGGCAAAATGTAACTAGTATAAGTCAACAGTATGCAGAAGTCCTGCCTCAAGAAACTATTTTAGCTGTACCACGCCAGGAGAAAAAAAAATGAAGGAGATAACAGTCTGTAGTGGTTAGTGGAGGAAGAAATATGGACAGGGCAGACCTACTGAATGCACTGCTTTCCACAGATGTTGAGATAAAGGAATCAAAGCCAATGAACCACCTGTTAGAAATGGATCTGAAACAAGGACAAACTGGTTGCAGGACAAAGAAATCAGTTATGCCAATCAATTCCCACTATGTACATGAGCATGGATTCTCTGAGATGGCTGTTGCATCAGAGGACGGAGCACAGGTGAGTCAGAGTATGAGTTAGGATGTATATACGGACAACACATAATAAGAATCTGTAATAAATGTCCTGCCTCACAATAAGTGTGACATTCATATTCTTTTGTCTTTGATCACACAGTAAACATTTTCTGGACCCTGATATATGTGCAAATATTTCACAGCAGATGCAGTTGTATGGTATTTTTGAATGTGGTACACTTGAGACATTTCTAAATCACATTATCCTTCCCATGGACATGACACTAAGCCCTCTGGTACAAAAAATAAAACATTACAATCACTTCTTATAGACTTTGTAGTCACCCAGTATAAACATATAATATATAAGAAAATGAAGACAAACCACATGAGCCTTGTTTCTTGATCTTGATATTTTCCTCTCTCTGGCAGTTTTCTTGTCTCAGTTTGCACTCATTCTCATAAGTGATGTTGTTTTCACCGCAGACCTACCAATGCACAAAGCATTATAGAGTTAGTCTTTATACAATGTTAATCTCATCATGTATATCAGTAAACCATCTGTATCATCTTCAACAAAAATGACTAACATTGTTTTTGAAACAATCTACACATGAGTGGCAAGTTGTGACCTTGTTCTTCCAGTGTGCTATGACTGTTTCCTTGGGGATTGTACTATGGCTGACACACATGATGATTTGACTTACAAAGATGTTATTGAGGAGACACAATCACAGCTTTTATGTTTTTTTCTTAAAGAAGACAATCTGGTCCAGTCACCATCAGCTACTCTCTCTCATGTCCAAATATTCAACAAATAACAATGACAAAGCTCTTCACCGCTGTTCACAGTCATTCCTGTTTGCTTCCTTTGCAATTATGACGTCTCAATCAGGCCACATGTATAGGTCTCACACAAGCATTTCCGGCCACTAGGTGTTCAGCTCCACCATCAGGCTAAATGGCAACTTGACTGGATTCTGGCTGTGCGGTCAATCTTCTCCATGCTGTTCAGCTATACCACATCGCATTCGCACAAAACACAACCACTCATGCTGGATGCGAATCACATACTAACTGATAAGACCTTTGTCTAACCTTATAACTCTCGTTCTGGGTTGAACATGTTAGTTTGAGCCCTGCTTGTATATCTCGTGTTTCTACGAGTATTAACTTTAAAATACCAACATTACACTGTCTTATTTTCTGGAATGAAATATCAGCCCAGTGCACTTACTAATAATATTGTTTTGGACATAGATTATCATTCATTTGATTGGATGTGTATATTTCTGTGATCCTTCTGTTTACTACATCTTTACATCTTTGAAACAATATTTATCTACCTCATTTGCACAAAGCTTTCTTTATAACAAAAATCTTACAAATGTTTAAATCTTTAGGGCCTGAGCAATTCTGGGAGTGTTAATTGAGAAGTTCCGATTTGTCTTAAAAAAACTCTCAGCATCCTTGGTGTGTCCTGTAAATATTGTTTTACACACAGCACTGTATTCATTTCTTATGTACGGAACTACTCTTAAAGTATTCAGGGACAGTTAATCTAATGTCTTCCTTTGAATCAAATTTCAAGACATGTGAGGGCAGATTGTTCAGACTGATAGCTAGTATTATTTTCAACAGTGCATTTTCTCAGGTAATTTTCGAGTGCCATGAAAACCAATGTTTCAATCACAAGTACAGATCGCAGAATGTGTCTTTCTGTGGCCGAAATTGTTTCAGGCAGATGTTTCTAATTCTGATAATGAAAATTTAGATTTTTTGGAAAGTGATTTGGACAATAAAAATGAAATTATGCCAGCACAATAGATCAGATCTTTTCTTTGACAGCAAAAAGCAGCAAAACTGGGAATATAGAAGAGATATACATAATGTTTTTGTGGATTTAAAAAGGCGTATGATAGTGTACATAGAAACAGTTTACGGAATGCTATGAAGGACTTTGGAATACCAAAGAAGTTAATTACCATGTCCAAACCTTGTATGGAAGACACTTGTAATATAATATTATATAAAGGCAGAAAGTCAGATCCTTTTCAAATAACATCTGGTTTAAAGCAAAGTGATGTTCTGTCCACACTTCTTTTTAACTTGGCCCTGGAGAAAATTTTAAGGAAATTGAAACAAAAATGTATTGTAGGAGAATCTACAAGAATTTTTGGATTTTCTGATGACATTGATTTAGTTGGAGAAAATGAACTAGAGACCGTTAAAACACTGACCATAATGAATCAGCTCAGAAAATGGGACTAGTTACCAATCAAGATAAGACAGATACATAATAATAACTAGACAGGGAAAAGATATTAACTCTCACCACAAACAAGTCGATATGAAAATCAAACGAAAGGAAACATAAAAGTACTTGGATGCAAACTTCAACTGCTCCAACATGCTGAGAGAAGAATTACAATCTAGAATACAATCTGGAAATAAAGTTAACCATGCCCTTCCACATCTGCTAAAGTCAATGTGTCTGTCTCGCAACAGTAAGATCAAAATATATAAAACGTTGATAAGACTAGCCATTTTATATGGCTCTGAAACTTGGAGCACAACTAAAAAAGATGAAGCCTTATTACAGGTTTTTGAAAACAGAGTCTTAGGATGAATTGTTGGACCCATCAAAGATGCAAACAACGGTAAATTTAGAGTCAGAAGCAACAACAAAATTCATAATCTGTTTAAATCACCACTGATCACTGGCATCATGAGATCTAATAGACTGAAATGGTTGGGGTATATTGAGAGAATGTCAGATGACAGAGAAGTGAAAACTGTATACACAAGGCAGATGAATGGCCATAGACCATGAGGCAGACCAAGAAGACGATGGAGAGATAATGTCCAGACAGACCTGCAAACACTTGATGTCACCAACTGGAAAGAGAAGGCCAGCCAGAGAGATGAATGGAGGTGAATGATATCTGCAGCAATGAACCTCAAGGGCTCAGAATGCTGAAGAAGAAGATAAAGAAGACTGCTCTTGTGGCTGCAAAACCATGGTAAGTGAACAATTTTTGTTGTTGTGAAATTAACACCTGTTGAATTTTTTTTTCCTACAAACTATAACAGTGTTTAACATATACTTATCATCAGATTCAAAATGCATATTAATTTCTCTTTAAAAAATACATACATTTCTCTGTTGCCTTTTTTTGTACACCGCCCCTCTGCAATTTTTGTAAAGAGAAATTAATGTGGGCCAAGTGTGTCAAAATTCATGGGCCTGAATGAGTTAAGATCAATTATCTACACTCTGAAGAACATAATCTCCATAACACAGCAACTAATTTTAACTTCAGTATAATAAAATGTAAACAAGAAACTAGATCTTACTGTCAGAAAATATAGAAAACATAGAATATCTTCCTCCAGATGATTTTTAATAATTCTGTGAATCAGTTAAAGCTTTTACTTACCGGACTGTACTCTTCTGTACACTGAGGGCACTGGCAAACTGGTTTGCCATTATGTTCAGTACACACTGCTCCATAGTCACAGAAGTGGTTCTGACAAATATAGTCCGGTCCTGTAAATGATCACGATTTACACAGAAAAAAAGTCATCCTTCTGAAATTACACTGTCAAATAAAATAATCATTACATTAGTTTAGCCCTTTTCATATACAATTGCAGTTAACTGTCATCACATCTCTAAGGAATAGTGATATATGCCCAAAATGGAACATGATTAATGTACATCTGAATATATTTACCAGTCTGACAGTATACAGGCTGCTAGCATCATCATCATATAATGTTCACTAGTTCATGAATATCTATCCTGAGAGGCACAAACAGCAATAGCTATACAATGGGCAATTGCTACTGTGTGTTATTTTTGTTGAAGATTTGACAGCACATCTTTTGTGCTTACTGCAGCTATGGTAGTTTGAACATATACATTTTTTCATTTACTTAGAAAACATGTTCCCAGTACATTGATTTTCCCTGCAACTGTTGCCTAGTGCCATGCCCTCCATTACTATTCTTTGCAATCCCATGTGAGGTTTAGAATGATCAAGTATTTCAATTTCCAAAACATGAGGCTGTGTATTTACTAACTTATTACCTTGATGTTTAGATTTTCTATGACAATATTTCCTTTTTTTCTTGGTGTATTTCACTTCAAAAGCCCCTAAATTCTTCCGTAATAACTGTGAGATTAATCTCAGTTGTCCCCATGTGAGATGCAATTTTTGATTATTTGAAGCCCCACCCTGGCTTTTGCCAGGGGCCCTGAATATAGCTGGGCCATAAATATGACCTAACTGCTGAAAGGCGTTTCTGGGACCTCTCCACTGGTGATCCTCATCCACATGATGGTACTTTGTGTCACCAGGTGTTTATTGCTTGTGGGTACAACAAGAGAAAGAGAGTGAGATAGTCCAAGATACAATTGTATTTTTCTATAGGAATTATGCATGCTCTTACAATATTTACTTTCATTTGCTCAGTCCAAGAAAGCAAGTTTTATTTTGGGCTGCCCCACTGTGAGTCAAACTTCAACTGCTCTAAGATTCTAAGAGAATAATGAACTAACTTTATTTTTAAAAGATTCAGAATTGGGCACACAGAAAAACAATGCAATCTAGAATATGATTTTTGGAAATAAGGTGTTACAATATCTGCTCAAATTCACTGCTCTATCTTGTAACACTAAAATCACAATATGATAAAACCAGTTGTCCTATTTGGTTCTGAAACCCGGAGAGCAACTAAATAAGACAGAGCCCTATTGCAGACACAAACATTTGAGAGCACAGTTTTATGGCAAATCTTTGTACATATCAAAGATGCAAACAGCGGAGAAGGGAGATCGAGAAGCAACAATGAAATTGATAATTTTTTTAAATCACCATTGATCACTGGGCTCATGACGGCTAAGAGAATGTAGTTGCTGGGTCATATAGAGATAATAACAAAAACAGAGAAATACATTTGTGCATACAAAAGAGCAGAATGAGAGTAGACCATTATGCAGCCCAAGAAGATAGTAGGGAAAATATTATTATACAGGCAGATTTACAAACAACTGGAGTCACTAAGTGCACAGAGAAGTTTAATCAAATGGATGAATGGAGGTGTGTGATATCTGTAGCAATGAACCTCAAGGGCTTAGAATAATGCACACGAATATATTCTCTAGGGCCAATTTATATATATATATATATATATATATATTTTATATATATATATATATGTGTTTGTGTATATATATATATATATATATATATATATATATATATATATATATATATATATATATATATATATACATATACATACATACATACACACATACATATATATATACATATAAATATATACATATATATATATATATATATATATATATATATATACACACACACACACACACACACACACACACACACACACACACAGATACATACACATATTTACGTGTGTGTGTGTGTATTATATATATATATATATATATATATATATATATATATATATATATATATATATATATATATATATATATATATATATATATATGTATATATAGTGTATGTTTGTGAGTCTGCCTTATTTCTATGCCCCTGTGGGTTCCAGTTCAAAGACATTCTCGTCATATTGTTCTCATGTTTTTTCAATGTGTGACCTGTCAAACACCAGTCTTTTTTCACCTCATTGTCCACTGGATGTTGTTTAGTTCTCTCCTAAAGCTCAACATCAGTGATTTTATCGTGCCATTTAATCCCTTCTATTCTGTGCAGGTACCGTTATTGATGAATGTTTATAATTCGTCACTGTTTTAGTTGCTCTCCATGTTTCTGCTCCATACAACAGTTCTGATTTGACAATAGGAATTAAAAATTCTAAGTTTAGTATTAGTTTTGATTTCTTTTGACCCCCACATTTTTCCTAGTGCAATGAAAGCTCCTCTTATCTTTTGTATTTGTATTTTTGTTTTCTATCAGTTCCCCCTTTTTTTATCTACAGGCAGACCCAACAACACATGGAGAAGGAAGCTAGAGAGTGAAGTTAAACAAGATGGGGAGGACATGGAGTGAGCTGCATGCTATAGCAAAGGAAAGAACGACTTGGTGTGGGCTGAGGGTCTCTGCTTCACCAGAGGATAGAAGGCAGAAGAAGAAAGATATATGTATGTGTATATGTATCTATATACATCTTTTTTTTAAAGCTGTGTATCCTTTACAGGACGTTGCAGAACCAGCCCCAGCATTATTAGGCTGTTGTGGTTTTTCTATTCAAACTTTACTTTCAGTAGTTTGTCACTGTTTTCTAAACAGTCAAAATCTCTGTAACATTGTTAAAACAAATGAAAGATGGTGTGCTGCCAAATCACATGCAACTGGGATAAAATCTGGCAACCCAGCATAGAAAACTGTGTTCGCATTGCCTAAGCCACAGATGCCAATATATATAAAGATATGTATAGTTTTATATATATCATCATCATCAGGTGCTTTTCCAACTGGCGCGGGTGATCATGCCTCTTCACAATCTGCGATCTCCTTCAGCATATATTATTTTGTGTGCTGACACACCTCCATGCCAGGCAGTAAGACTGTCAAGAATCTTTTCTTTTTGTCTTCCTCTATCCCTCTTTCCAGTGCTCACAACATGTTCCATTTTCCCTCTTCTCATAACAAAGCCGAAAAATTATGTCTCCTTCTGATGCCTGTGATTAGTTGTCTTCAGGCTCCCACCTCTTTCAAAACCTCTTGGTTGCTATTTTTTGGCTGTCCAGGGTTTTTTAATTCTTTTTCAGAGCTGCATCTCTGAGGCCTCAAGAAATTGTTTTAATAATTAATGTTAATTGTTTTTATATTTCATGCTCAACATGTTATATAGTCTAAACATATATATATACTTACCACAGTGTCCTGGGTGTTTAACAACAACATAGACCTTCTCCTGACAAGAGCGTCTTCGAAGTTCACACTCATTATCGTAGGTGGTGCTGTCATTGCCACAGACACGCCGCAGCACTGGCTCACATACTGGTGGGCAAATACAAGCAGCTTTTCCTGTACGATCAATGGAACATTCCTCTTCAGGTCCACACCTCAGCTGGTTGCATGGGTTGTTTTCTGGAAATAAGTATGTCATTTGACTGAGTGATAAGCTATTAGTTTAGTAATTCTTGAAATAGAAACTTGAAACAATGCAAATACAGAGTGTAATGAATAATTTTAAATATAATGGCCATTGAAACCAAACATTTGACAGAAAATTCAATGGGTAATTATATGGGGAAAAAATCATTGTATTAAAATCATTCTGTAATAAGCCTAAATATAAATCAAAGCGATGGACAATGGAAAGTTGGGAGGGGGGGGGGGGGGGGGGGGGGGGGGGGGGGGGGGGGGGGGGGGGGGGGGGGGGGGGGGGGGGGGGGGGGGGGGGGGGGGGGGGGGGGGGGGTGGGGGGGGGGGGGGGGGGGGGTGGGAGGGATGCAATATTCACAGAAATATAAATAAAATAAAATATGTAAACAGCATAAAATCAGGCATTTTTGCATCTTACACTTTGAAAGTCTTAAGGGTTATACTGTGTTATATTCTTTGCTTACAATTTCAGCACACACGGTATATCTAAGAATACATTGTTATGTTATCACAATCAATTTCACTGCACATTTGGCATTCACATGTGTGCTCAGTCCTCTGATGCAGCAGCCATTCCAGGGTACTTTTGAGGATTGTTCTCATGAGGTGTTGGTAATAATGTCTCTGGTCTCCTATGAAAAGGTTACTGCAAGTGTGACTGCTTGTACCTCTGTTCATGCTGGTGCCCTGGAAGCAGCGGTTATCTCCTTTGCTGTGCTCGATGTAGTTGCCTGGTAATTGCCACTATCCTCTTTTATTGTTTTCCCCATCCTTTGTGAGTTCATGCCTATGCTGACCATGTTACAATTTCGCAGATACATCTGTGTAAATGATGCTATCTTCTGATATGAATCTATCACTGTCCTTAACTCATATCTGAGTTAACACAACAAGATTCCTGCAGTTCTAATGATACAAGTACAGCTCTCTGACATTTACCAATAGGACCCTTTTTCCTTTAACATATGTCAACAGACTCATAAACATGTTTATGATGATTCTCCTATTTTAATAATGTTACATTTTTACCTGTTTCCTTCTTTGTTGCCAACAATGAATTGTTCTACATGTTTCATGTTTCAATTGGCATATAAGAATATTCACATCTCATATAAGTTTCTGATGACCTATTCATTCACATACTTTAATCGAAACAAAACATACAAGTAAAAGACCCTTTTTTTTAAAATGCTAGGATATGATGCTATACTCATATTTTTAAAGACTAAATGGCACTCACTGAGTTCTGTGGTCAACAGCATGCCTGCTAATTACATATAATTGTAAATAATTTCCATTAGCATATGAGTGGAAAAAAATTAACCTTTCCTGACACAAAAAAACATACTGAATTGTATGCAGCTATTTTCACAACATAACGCTATCATAGAAGCTCAGAGGAGAAACAAGGAGGTCAAACATCTATAATGACAGTGTCTACATGGACTACAATGTCACATAAATGATGAACTAAAAAGCACAAAATTAAAATTATCAAGTTAGTTATTGAAACATTTAATAGTAAAAGCTATGTTATAAATGAAGAAGAAATTTGAAAGCAAAATATTGCATAAATTGTTTTGAGCATCCAAAAGAAGTGCATTAGGATGATATTCAGCATTTTAAAGACCTCTATTCTGAGCATTGAGGTTCACTGTTTCAGATATCATCCACCTACATTGCTTTCTGTGATTGGTCCTCTCCTTCTAATTGGCAACTCCAAGTGTTTGTAAGTTGCTTGCATATATCTGTGCTGTGTCTTATCTGTCTACCACTATTCAACTCCCTATTGTACACAGTCTTTGCCTCTGCCATTCTCACTATATGACCCAGCCATTTCAGTCTGTTAGCCCTCATTAGTGACAAACTCCAACTAGAATAGGGCTGACAGCATCAAGAAGTCTCGCCTACTGACAATATCTTGGCTGTACACACTGGGACACCTGAGGTAAACAAGTGACTGGCTGTGTCTGCAGTGTATAGTGGAGGAACAAGTATGAAAGGGCAGACATACTGAATGTGCTGTGTTCCACAGACAAAGGAGTCAGAGACAATGAACAGCATGTTGGACTGGGTATTACATGAATATGGCTGGGGAGAGGGGGATATGCCAGTCAAGGAGTACAGTGACTGATGTGCTAGGATGTTGATATGAACAAGAAATAACAAGTAGCCCACATGAGGCCAGTGATAAATGGTGATTTGAAAAGATTATAAATTTTGTTGTAGCATCATCTTCTTCTATGCCCAGTGCTTGCTTCTTTGATAATTCCAAACATTTGTTGTAAAACTCTGTTTTACAAGAATGTGTTTCTAAATCAATTTTTTTTTTATGGGTTGACTAACGAAGTGTAGCATCAGAATATATCAAATCAAATTATTCAACACTACTAAATTACTAATTTTTTTCTGATTTTGTCTTCTATCTGTTTCCTATTCCAGCTTCCCAGTATGTAGCTGTGGATCAGACTATTCTGGTGCACTTGTGTGATAGAATCATTTCCTGAATATATTCTCCTGTATTTTCAACTACAACTTTCATCTTAATTATTGGTCAATGTTAACACTTCTGTTCATGAAATTCTTATTGAAGTTTTTAAAAACCAGGTACTATTTTGGACTTTAGCAGGTAGTTCGGAATCTGTTGCTTCTCATTTTATACATTTTATAAATTATAAAGTACAAAGCCATAAGCTGCACATAAATAATTTAAGGGCCAAAATTGAAGTTTCTGACACATGGAAATGAAGTTAAGAGGTAGAACAACACTGGAATTGGCAGACAAATTACTAAATCAAATAAAAGTCAAACTATTTAAATAATTTTGTAATTTCAAGGGACATAGCTTTTTGTTTAAAGAAGCACTGATATTAAAAGCAGGGATCAGTAGGTGAGAAAGAGTGCTAGGCAGATAGCATGAGATATGGAGGACTGAAGGAAGCTTGTATGAGTTAACTGTTAAGTTACAATACAGAGGTTGAGAAGAACTGCTGCAGCTGATCTCTGATGAAGATGGGACTTCATGATTTTAAATAAATATATGTATATATATATTTACTACTACTAATATAATACTACTTTAGCGTTAGTTTTCTTTTTATAAAGAATTATATAAAGACTAATACATCCTGAGCTCATATAGTTTTGTTATATATATATATATATATATATATATATATATATATATATATATATATATATATATATATATATATATATATATATATATATATATATAATATATATATATATATATATATTTGTTTATATAACGAGGTATATCTACATTAGTAGATCAATGATTCTGACAAAAGCTCTAATTTTCTCTTGAGATGTTTGATGTTAAATATTAGAAACTGTACATCAAGAAGTATACAGCCTAACGTTCTGCAGCATTACATTTATTTATTTCATTATCCATGCCATCTGGTGTTGGTAGTTTACCCACAACCTTCTGTCTTAAGTACTTTCAATTAGTTCTGACACAGATTCTATGCCACAATGTCAAACTGTCTTTCAAACCCCAATAGCCCTTTTCCACTCCAATTTTCCAATGATCACAATGCACTCCTGCTTTCTCCTTCTCATAACTTGTCCAAAATTATGCAGATGTCTCCTTTTGATGTAGGCAATCAGTTCTCTTCATGAGTCAGTTCTTTCAAGACATCTTCACTACTATTTTATCTGTCCAGGGTGTTCTTATCAACATCTATAAAACCACATCTCCACCCCTTCCACATAATTTTTTACTAACCGCCTGCTGTCCATGATTCATTTCCATATATCGGGATAGAACTGGTATAAATCTTAATAATTCTTTTTCTCACCTCAGTTGACAAAGAAAGACTGAATAGAATATTCTTTATTTTGTAAAATGCTGCATTGGCTTTAGCTGTTCTTCATTTACCTATATTACGTTTAACAATGGAACATTATACTTAGGACACTATACTGTAAGACACCAATTATTAATCAAACAGAATGTTACCAAAACTTGCGACATTAGCAGAAAGTGATACTATGTGCAAGTAAAAAATTTATCAGCAACAGTTTAAATACTACAGCGGTCATATTCAGTATGGTAATATTTTCTTCTACTTCAGCAATCAACATTTGCTCTGCTTTTAAGAAAAGTTTCCTTTTTAATTGAACTTACTAAAATGTGTAAAGTAAAGATAGCAGCAAGATGTTGACCACATCTCCCCTTTAGTGTCGACTGGTCTGACAAAATGTGGGTCTCATACCATATGTCCAGTGTTTTTTGGGTATTCTTTTTAGGTTTAAATGACATATCAACATTATGGCAAGGGTAGTAACCCACAAGTGCTCCATTCGACTTCTAACTCGTCTGAGTCCGAAAAATCTCAGTGCAGTGCAGGAACTCTGTAGCACCCGTGAAGATTTCAAAATTCTTTGGGTCAATTTTTAACTCAAAATTTTCCCCAGGCAGTGCCGTTGGGCTACTCTTTTCAATTTCCAACTGCCAAGGAATTTTTACTTGCACAACAATACACATGGGCGTCCGATTTCACTACCCAGAGACCAGGGGAAATTACTAGAAGTCCATGTGAAAAATTCCCAGCCTTCACTTGGGCCTGAACCCGGGACCTCTAGCACTCGAGGCAGATGCCATGCCTTGAGACCACGCAGTCTACACAATATTTTCAGTGAAAAGTTAAAAGATTTCTTCCTTAATAAAACCTTAACTTAAAAAGTAAACACCCCTCTGCTTCCATGTTCTCCTAACGTATCTGTTTGACCAAACAAACACTCAATTATATATAACCAAGTCAGTTCTCTGTTTTCACTGTTTTTTTTTTTTTTTTTTTTTTTTTCAAATTAAAGTAACAACAGTCTTTAGAAGCCTTAACAAAATATAGAGTTCCAGGTTATACAGCTTTAAGACTAAACTACAAATCCTAAATTTTAACATATGCCAGCAAAAGTTGGTGAAAAACCAAAGATATGGAATTAATTCAAAAAGAGTGAGGAAATCAGAGAAATGTCTGGAAAAATACCTGTATCAACTGCAGTAAGAGAGAGAGACGGTGGAAATAATATAGGCACACTCTGAGACGAAATGAGCAAAGAATTATATACCAGGCACTGAAATGCGAAACAAACGGTCTGAGAAAAAGAGCACGTCCAAGGAAAATATTAGGAAGAACATTATTACAAGACGCAAAAACTTCTGGGCTGAACATGTCAAAAATTAAGAGAGTTGCATGCAACAGAATGAAATGGAGGAATCAAATGAGAGCCCTGTTTGATATCTAATGGCACACAAAGGATGATTATGTTGATGATGAAAGTATCCATCTCAATGCATTGAAGATTTATAGCACATGGGACTAGTCAAATATTTATTTATTTCTCTCTCCACTAGGAATGAAACTTTAAGAAGCAGGTGTCACTGCAGCTTCTAGACTGACTGTATACAGCTAACAACATTGCCATGCCATAAATGATCAATGACAGTTCTAGATATTCTCTGCTAAACATGCAACTGTTGTCCTCATCGTCTATGACTGCTAAATCAACAGTTTCTGGTCTACACAAACTATACCTTCACACATACATCAATATAAACTATCATGCCAACACATGCCTGACACCAAAAGTATCCACATAATAATACATTGAGGGTTGGTTGCATACTGTATAGCCAAAGAGTTTTAAGGGGGATGGTGTAGTTAATCCCCTACTAACTCTTCACAGTTGCCTCTTGAAATAAGCATGATAGGTTACACTGTTTACAATTTTGTTTTTGCTACCCCGAAGAGCCAAGTAAAACACAGGACATACACTGAGAAAGCTGGTTTATAGTATAACTAGAAAATCATTGTTTTCTTGAAACAAGGCACAAGAAATCATCATGTGCCATGCTGGTAAGCATAGCCTGTCATGTTTCACTATCTAATATGATCACTAGGATCACAGTTCAATTCAATAATTTTGTTCTCGCCCCATCCATCTGCCAGGCCATCCAGGTATGTGTCTCTTTGCCTTCCCCTTGCTCTCTTTCCAGTAATCTTGCCAGTTGTTACCTTCTCAAAATGTGTCCCCAAAATATTGACTTTCTACATTTGATTGCTCTAATAAGCTTTAACTTCTGTCTGTCTTGATGAGGACTGCTTCATTTGCTTTTCTATCATTTCATATTCTTTGCATTCTTTTCAAAAGCAACATCTCTGCTGCGAGTAAATATGCGTCATCTTGTCTGCCTGTTGTCCATGTTTCACATGCACATAACTTCACAGGTTTTACATAACATGCTAGTACTCTTTTTTTTTTTTAAACTGCAAGTGACATTTTCTTACTGGTGACAATCTTTTTTATCTTGCTAAAGGCCACCTTTGCCATGGTGCTTCTTTTTCTAATTTCTGCAAGGTGTCTTGCATCAGAAGTTAGGACTGTTTCTAAATTGTTGTTTCTATTAACTTTTTTCGTGAGAATGTTACAGTTTGTGTATATTTCTCATCCATACAATGTTTTTGTAGTCAAAATATTGTACTTGATATTTTAAAAACAGATTGCTACCTGTTAAAAACACAGAAGCTTCAATGCAGGCAACTTAAAATTGTGAAATATATATAAGTTTATAATAGACTTATAAATGTATCCCAATGTGGGCAACTTAAAATCGTGAAATATATATAAGTTTATAATAGACTTATAAATGTAATACTTACATATTCAACAATCTGCAAAGTGGTTACATTCATAAAGCCCTACTCTAGTTTTATAATATACAACACTCTAAAAAAAAAAAAAACAATCCCAACAACATGTAAATACTTCCAATGATTAAATAAAATCTAAAAATACAAAATGTGGGAAATAAAAATCAAGTTAAAAAATATATAATTTACCATGAGCTTGATTATGATACTCATCTTGAACTGTGCCCTTTATGAAGGTTAATCCTTTGTGGGGTGCATTTAATAAGTAACAACCCATCAGTTTATTTTCATTTTTAGAAGTTATAAAATATACTGTGCAAACAAAAATGAATCATTCTTCAGGTATTCCTTCTGTCTGGCATTCTTGCAGTAAATAGCTTTGTTACTATGTAAACTAATGTTAATGAAATACAGAGTTATACAAAGTTAAGTGATCGTCTAATCTGCTGAATATAAATACATACTGGGACTTGTACATACACTGTATGTTTAATGTAATGGAGAAATTTCATTTTTGTGTAATCATACTAAGCACCCTAATTTAAAGACTGACACAAAACTTGAAATGTATTTACTGAACAGATATTAAAACCTTTAAACAAATTAGGGAACATGCCACATTTTTAACAAAATTATATCTAGATCATTTTAGCCAAACTGATTTATTCCTCATGCATCCTCTACTCAGATATAAAAACAGTATCACATCAACATGCATCACCCACAGACAGACTACACAATGTCATTAGCTGCATACAGTCATTTCTAGTCTACATTTAGAACTCTCCACAAAAACATATGCTGTTAAAATATAGGTCTGCTACTGTTAATGCTGTGGAATTGCTTCAACTGATATGTTTATTGGAAATACAGTGGAAAATAATCACTTGCATAAGCTATCAACATAAAAATATCTTACTGTATACTCAAAGCTGACCTCTCTCAACAAGACACAGCCATACATTGTTCAGTGAGTAAGTACCAAGTGGCTACAATATTCTTTTTTACTACCGTTGAGCACTGATATATTTGTCCACAGGCTCTTGTCTCACATGTTCTAAATAATTATGTACACACGTTTCTCTCTGCCACAAAATCAAATCAGCTCGTATTTTCTTTTGATGACTTCACCTGTCTACAGAGGTTGGACTAAGTCATCACCATTCAGGTCCAAACTGATTCCCAAAGTCATTGCCACCAAGTCCCAAGTCAAGTCCTGTGTCAAATCACTTCATGTATCAATTCATTCACAAGTAGTGCATGGGACAGTGTTTATGAATTAAACTTGTTAGTTTTTTATAATACCAAAACACCCAACTATTGTTAGATTGTGATTTTGTATGTTAATAGCTGAATTGAACGTATAAAATTGTATAATGAAAGTATTATTATGTTAAAAAATTTGCAGAAAACTAACAAAATTGTCACATTATTTTTTTTCTATTGCCAAACCTCACAGTGGCTGGTCAAAAGCCCGAGCTGAGTTACAAGTTGTTAATTACATGACTCTAGTTACACTCGAGACCAAGTCACATGACTCAAGTTCTAACCACCGCCTGTCTATCTTTTCATCCAGTTTATCTGCTGTCACATTTTCCAGTTTACTCAGTCTGATAACATGTCAAAGAAGCATAGACTGTTTACTTCCAATACAAGTTTTCTTTTATTTATCCTTTTTATAACATATTCAATCATTGTAGTATGTCTACCATTTAAAAAGTAAACAGTTCTCCTTGTGACTGCATTAGTGTCTGTACACCCTTTCTACTATTGTTTACTTGGCTAAAATACAACATTCTTTATAATATAAATGTAGATACTAAGTAATTTCTCACCAAGCTGCTGGTTAACATTGATTCACTTCCATTAAATCAGAGTAGACTATATACAACTTCTACAAAATCTGTTTTCTAACTCTCATTGCTGAAGATATGTTGCATAAAATATTCTTTATTATGTCTAATTATGCTTTAGCTTTACCTGAATATCACGTTTTCAATGCATCTTTTTTTCTGCTTATAAGAGACAGCCCATTTAATGTATCTTGTTGAATTGCTTCAGAGCTATTCAGACTACCTCTTTTCTTTGTGATTATCATTGCTTCTGCTTGTGTTTTTTTAAATATTAAAAACACAATATTTGATAAAAGACGTTATTTTCATTTTCTTTGTAATTATATTTACTTTCTTCTTGTTTCTTTCAGTTACTTGGACTCAAACAGTGTCCTTAGAGCATCAGAATATTTACAAATGTCCCCTAATTCATTTAGAAGGCGCTACCTGTCAAAATGTCATTATTATTTCACAAGTTGAACAAATCTAGAATATTTCATTTGCAAAACACTTTTTTTGAGGTGTGTTGGTAATACATTCACATTTGATTGTCAGCTGTTATGGTTTAACATAATGGTTAAACAGGGTTTCTTGGACTTGTGTCTGAGTGATTCTCATCCAAATGGTGGCACTTCATGTCAACAGGTGTTTGTCGCGTGTTGTGCCATCATGGTATAGTTGAATGTCATTCAGTTGTTATGTCATTTTTTCTCTCTTTTGCAGTGATTTCTATTTTAAACAAATGTTTTACTTGGTATAACTGTAAAAAGTGAAATTAGACTGCTCTTTAATACTGTAAACAAGAACCAGAGGCAGGCAGTGAAGAACAGATTTTGGCAGATACAGAACTTCATTATAAACATTAGGACTATTTATTTCATAAAATCAGAAACCCAAATCACATAAATTCTGATACCTACCTGGGCTGCACTTTCCATTGTATAGAACTCTAATTTCCTTTCTGGATTTGCAAGCTTGTTTTCTTAATAAGCACTGATTGCTGTATGTTCTACCATCTGTACCACACACAAGATTCATTTCTGTGGGACAAATGTAACTGCACTGACACTCTGGCTCTCTTTGTGCATTGACTTGACAAACTTTTGGTGACTCGCATGTGAAACCTTCACAAGGATCTGCCAGAATGTCATTTTGAAACAAGAAATAAGTATAATAAGAATATGATAGTATAATGATGGCTAGCTTTCATGCAACAAACAGCCATAAAAGCAATCAATGTATCAAACTCAACATGTCAAATTATTCAGTCACCATGATGGTAAGTTGTTTTTTTTTATGTGTCTTTCCACCATAAATCTAGAGCTGCACATGTCAATTAATTTAATGTTGAGACTATAATGCTGTAGTCTTCCCAGTAATTCACTTCCAAAAAAGAAATAGGCCTAATATGATGCAAATACTGTATTCTAGGCTGATTGTTTTCTTTTGTTTTTTTCCATCACAAAATCAAATTGCAGCATTGGTGTCCTCTTACCAACGTGCATTTACTAAACTACGTATTCAAAGTGTGCACTATACACTCTATACCACCTACTCTAAGACACAACTGGGAACCTGCTCTGCTATGCAAGATTTTCTGTTCATAAACTGGCAGATACTCCCAGTTCGACTCAACCATAAATGAGTACCAGGAAATAATTTGTGAACAAAGATTTCTAACATGACATGACCAACACACCTACTGAGCATCAAATCGGTCAATACACAAATTTATGGGTGTGGCATTATATATAACAAGTAAGCCTCAAAACTTGAAATCAGCTCCTTTAAATATGTTTTGCTGTGTAAACATTCTCTGGGTCATTAGCAATTATCCATAACTAGATTCAGACAGCTTTCAACGCTGTAATCTAAGCACACACACACAAAAACATAAAATGTTTATAAATGAAACAAAAATAGAATCACTGATTCCAAGAAATAGTCAAAAAGATGGGGGACTGATACATACTTGAAAATATGAATACATAAGGCAAGAGGAGCTTTCATAGCACTAGGAAATTTGTTGTCAAAGAAATTAAAACTAATACTAAACTTAAAACTATTAATTATAATGTCAAATCAGTACTGTTGAATGGAGTGGAAACAGGGAGAACAACTAAACAAAATGGAACCCCTCATAATAAACTACAGACATTTATTAACCGGTTCCTGCGCAGAACAGAGGGAGTTAAAAACGGTAATATAGACTCACTAAGTAGAGCTTCAGGAGAGAACTAAACAAGTACTAGTGGACCAAGAGGTGAAGAAAAGATGCTGGTGTTGGGTAGGACACACACTGAGAACAACCTGAGAACAAAATAACTAGAATGTATTTGCACTTAAACCCACAGGGGCATTAGAAATAAAGGAAGACCAAAAAAGAAAAGGAGAAGGGAGCTAGAGAGTGAAGTTAAAAAGTTGGGGAGAGCTGCATGTGATATCGAAGGACTGAACAACTTCATGTGAGTTGGTTGAGGGCCTATGTTCCATTGGGGGCTAGAAAGGCAGAAGAGGAGGAAGAATCATTGATCACATATTAGCTTTAGACTTCTGTTTCTGCCCTCTAAAACTGAACTGTGGATGTTTCTTCATTCTACAATTCCAGATTTTTTGACATTTTTTGTGTGTTGCTGTCTGGTTTCATGTTTTTCATTCTTTATTCATCCAGTCTGTCCTATTCTAGTTCAGTGTAAAAATGCTAAATTATTTTGATTGTCAAATGTTGACTCTTAAATGTTGAATTGAATTAAGAATCAACATCACAGCACTCAGGACCCCCATAAGCGACTGTCTCCACCTTCAGTAGCAGAGAACAGTTCCACTTCTGATGGTACCAATAACTGTCTGAATGTATATCCGTCTCATTTTATTCGGGCGTTGGCCAGATCCTTTTGTAACTCCTCGCTGTGCCATTCTACTCAGACCGTAATGATCTATCTGTGCCTCGGCACTGTTCCCTCTCTCCCAGAGAACCCTCACAACATCCAGCTTGTCATTCATCAGTTCACCACCAAGTGGTGCAGAACCGGCCAGTCTATCTGCCAGCTCATTTTCCAACACACCAGCATGTACCTGGAGAAAATATGCAAAGGATGCTAAGAACACAGGATCTTTGAAGCGATGCTTGCAACTCTGCATGGAGCATACTTTGTCTTTTAGGAGAATGTTAACATTGTATGTGAATGTCTACCCTTTTCCCAATTTAAGTACAATTCCTCTGATATAAATTTTTTACAGTGATTTGATGTCTCCTGTGCTCATACTTATATTAATAGTGAGTGTTTTGATTGGATCAAATTTTTTTGCCTCCTATCTGCAAATTTCATAACCATGAATTCCCATATACAGCAACAAGAAACAAATCTACACATAGTGACAGTGATAATTTAGAAAAAAATAAACAAGTCTGTCATGGAGCGAAACTATTGAAGCAAATAAACATTCATCAAAAAGTCAATAGAAACACCCTAGAGAAGATGAAAAAATAGACTGCAAAATTACAAAGAATCGAACACCAGATATCTAAAGTGACAGCTGACAGACATTTTAGTTGACAAATTTCCATGTTTCCTAACGACAGTGTTACAATGTGCTAAAGGTAGACATGGGAATCACACCCAATGGTGATAGTGAGAGTTAAGCACTGTCTTCCACAATAACAGCACCAGATTTCCGGACCATCGTTGTCAGCAAGTGTATTTCATGTGCATGTTTTCAGACATGTCTGCAAGCATTTTCTTTTTTATCCCTATGCCCTTTGTGATTTTATTTTTCTCCATGCAGCATGGGCCATTATATCCTGTTTTCACGAATCCACTTAAATACATGTAATGTTTATGTCCCTCTTCATATTTTAGTTGAGACCAACTTGACAGCAGGTAGTAGGTCCTTTGTAGAAATGTGTTCTGTGTGAAAGAAACTCAATGTCTCACCAGCCTTCCCGCCTCTTGCATTTTCCTGCTGAATGTGCCCATCTTCTTACTGGCTGGGCCCTTGCCCATCTTTCCTGAAACCATCGCTTCTGCTTTTGTTTTTTTCTAATCTGCCAGGGCGCTTGATATCTATAATTGCCCTAGAAGATATCCTAAGAGTCTTTACCATTCTCCATCCTTCATGTCTGTCTAAGCCATCTAAGCCTTTGTAGAAAGAGCATTGAGAAAACTGTTCTGATAACTATCTCCCCACAATGCATTAGTGTTTGTGACCTTGTTTTGCCACTTCATGCTAATGTGACAGGCCAAGGACAGCTATTAATTAATGGCTGTGACGAAATGACCTCAGTAGTCTTAGAAGTTATATTGTGTTTAATAATTTCTTATGTTCAGAGAAGGACAAAGAATTATAAGCAATAGACACTGAGCCTGAAATAGTTCTAAAACTACTACAAGGAATTTGAAAATTGTTTAAACTTTGTTTCCTTTTCTCTCGCCAGACAAAGCAACCTAGCTTTGTGAAATATTACCTAATACTACCTTAGCTAGAGATTCCTTTCACCAGCCAGTGTCATATAATTATCTCCTGCCCACATACTGTAGAGGCCAGTAAATGGGGAAATAACTTAGTATCACACCTGAGATTATCTCCCATGAACCCGACCTTAGTGTCATAAATGTTACATAACACAGACTGTATGGGCCTTTTGAACAGAGCAGATCAGGGGAATTAAGTGGACTGGTAGACCTGACGGTGTCCTCTGGACATTTTTTACACCTGCCAGTTAAATTAGCTGGAGACCAGATGTTTGCCAATTAAGAAGGTTTGGTCTTACTGAAGGCCATTCACTTTGAGTGACAGACCCATTGATAGTTATGTTGATCTGCAAGGAACCTCAGGGGCGTGGCTTAGGTCATCTCCTGGAGGGTTGGGTAGAACCTAGTAAAGGGAGGAGTTTAACCTTGCAGACAGATAAAGGTATTAATAATACTAGCCTCTGGACTTTCCGTCATAATCGCTGCCACCGGCAACAAACACAGATTGACATTAAAGGTGATTCTAATTGTTTGATTCTAGTTTGGCGATTGATGGAATGTTCCCAGGTAAGCTTGTACAATTGTTTTCAATCTTGTATACATAGGTTAGGAAGTTAGCTAAGCCTATTCTACCTTGTCCTAATTTTTCTACACATTCTGCTGGAAATAGTTCTTTGTGAGCATTCAGTATCTCAGTTAGGGAAACTGCTAAACTATTTCTATTTCTTGTATGTTTGTGCCACATGTTTTCAGTGTATTTTTTCATGTTTATAAAATAAGACTTGTATACTGAAATGTAATGAAATTATAATGTTTCAAACATCAACCAAAACATGAGTTTGGACTGTGGGATATGATGCCCACATAGGCAGCCATTCAGTTACGTTTTTTTTGTGTGTTCCCATCATGTGCTCACTAAATTTCTTCACCTAAACAGGGGATTTATAACCCCAGGGGCAGAATCATGGGTGTATAGAATTCACTGTCACTGAAAGATAATATTCAGGACAGCATGCACGTATAAAATGTTTTGTGTGGTCAGCACATAATCTGCGCCACATGTCAAATCAATGTCGGAAGTCTGAGTGATGACGGACAACAAACTTAGAAAGTCAACTATCAGGACAGAATATGACAGGGAAGGCAGGATATGTTAGACGTCGGTGTGAGACACAAAGACCTTCAGACTAGACTGGAGAGAATGTGGAATATGAGGAGGTGTGGTGAGATATAATGTATTATTTTATATTGTATTAATTGACACATGTATTCTTAGTGTAAGTCAAGATACTACACGTATGTGTTTGTTTCCATTATTACAGCTTCCATGTGACGATCAGTCTTTTCTGAGAACAGAAATAGAGGATCATCATGGGCACGAGACTACATTGTGATAGAACTCGGCCAGCTGGAAACCAGGTGGAAGAACCAGGTGGAACCAGGAGAACTGGGCGGAAAAGTTGGAACAGCTAAGAAGGGACTCAACACAAGGACTCTCAGAGGTTCCACTTTCTAAACCAACCTAAGTTACATATCACGTATTTATGTAATTAAACACCACTATTATCACTTCACTCTTATCTTAGGTGCTCAGTTAGCTGAAGCATCTCATTACCACCATACCATCACTGTTGACTAAAAATATAAATAACTAAAATGATTGCCAGGTTAATAAATCAATTATATGGTCTTATCCCGCATCAGTTTTTATAATTCCAAGTGTGTCTGTTCTTACATGTTTAATTAAACTGTTAAAATAGAATAGCATTTGGTGGAGCTCTTTGAATAATAATAATTTTTACCAAGAGAAGGTCAACGGAAAGGGTCAACTGCCCTGTCTAGTAAGTCATTCAATATAATAATATAGACATCTAAAACCCTTTTCCTTCTCCTGTGGATACCAAGTGCAGCTAATGTAAAAATAATTAACGAGCCAATATGACTGTTTTCTTGGATATCCAGGACTTTGTCTGAGAGCAACATAGCCCGGATATTAGTTCAGTTAACCTGGGAGGGGATGTGTTGAGAGGAAAAATCCCTACTCAACATATAAAATTCAGTAAAACCCAAATCCAGAGAACCCACGACCCGGGACGTCACACTAAAGTTTTGTAATCTCACGGGATCGTAGGGTTGTTACATCACAATGGCAATGCAAAGAAACCTGACCAGGGTGTATAAAAACACAAAGGGCCCGGGAGACGGCCTCATTTTGGCTTTCTGCCTTCTACTGGCTGGTAGCTTTGGGCGTTCTTGCTGGTCAATGTGTTACTGGCTATTTGGTTCTGAGTCGTGGTTAGTGAACAGAGCAAATGTAGTTCTGGTTTTTTTGTCGGGTGGTCGTTCGCAGCCCTAAGACACAGGATATCTAGTAGCAAATGTGCAAATAAGGTGAGGATATAGGATGGGCTGTACATATATGTGAAAGCAAGTTTTATTCAAGGTGGCAGATCTTAAAAATATTATTATGTATTTTCTATGAAGTACACATCTATGGTAGACATCCAAAATCAGATGTCTTCTTAATCATACATGGATACGTTCAGTTATTCTGACACTTAACACCAACTCACAAACTCTGAGACGTGGTCAGCAAGCCAATTCTACCCAACTGATGGCTGGTCTCCATCTTTATTCACTCATTCAGATTCCAAATTTTTTTAGTGTACATTGTTTTCAATACTTTTATACCTATGTATTTAAAAACAAATTATTCAGGTAATCCATATTTTGACAGTTAAACAGATAACAGTTTGCTTCCATATGATGTGCAGATTCAATAATAAGTACACGTGAAGCAACATTTCGACGTCTGTGGCGCATCGGGCATATGGTGCTAGATTCATATTTTATGGACCAATTGGCACTCTGTGGCTGATGCGGTCAACATCACGCTGGCTGTCTTTATGTTTCTAGGACATTAATTGGTATCTATCTATTTTATGCTGGGTCGACCTGGGAGTCAGGGCAATTTGGAAAACAAACTAACATACAACTCGATGCACAAACGAACAGAAGACATCTGCTGGCTAGTTTGAGTCTTGACGTACATGTACTTCCCTTTAACTTACGGGTTCGATGTATAACTGATTTTTGTGTCCAATTGTATTTTTAATCATATGCAGCTGAATTTTATGATCAGCTATAATTAAGCCCACGCTCTGGATTTCCTTCTTAGTATACATGTAAGCAAATCAAGCAAATAAGCCAAATTAATGATTCACAACTTACAAAATGCAGTAAAAGTCCTAAGATCCTGAAGGTGTTTTGGTTTTGTATTCACCACTTTTAACATGTCAATATCAATCATAAAGAATGAATGAGAGGTCAGCATATTCATTTACCAATTACAGTATCTACTTTTAGTCAAATACAAAGATGTGTATTCACTGAAAGGATTTATGTTGTGTCCATTTATCAGTGGACTGCTTAGCTTATCGAATGAGACTTCTCTTGTTTTCTTGCAACAACATGGTCCATAAGCTTGTTTATTACCATACTTTGTGAATGCTGTATGATAATTCTGTACTGATGATATCATATATATATATATATAACACACTGCTAACTGAAAGATGTTGTTCTGTTCTTGGAACTGAATACTATCATGCTGCTCCTTTCTGAAGTAGAACAAGATAGTACACAACCATTCTAAATCCTAGATATCAAGATAATTGTTTGAATTAATTTACAATCCAGAGTCTCATGATTTCTTGATGTATGGCTTCAGGATTTCCGGACTTTTACTGTATAAATAATACAAAAATAAGCAGGGATAAAATTCAGAGGCTATGGAATCAAAACACAAAAGAAGGATTTAAAAAAAGCAACCTACCACATTTACCATAGTACTTGACTCGAATGTCCTCAAGTCTGTAGCACGCAGCCTTTCTGAGTTCGCACAGATTAGCATAGTCATTGCCATCGTTGCCACAGACCGGCTTGCTGTCTATACTATCACCATAAGACGGACAATCTAAGGGGCACTGACATCTGGCTATGGTCCCGTCTATGGAAGGCATGCATTCAGCTCCAAACTTGCAGACTTGACCCTCACACGGGTTGCGAATACCTGGAGGGAATTTGTAACAGGCTGTGACCTGGTGAACGCGCGACACGCAGAGTATGAGAAGAAGTAATCTGGGTAAGGATATGAGTGAAGACGTTCCATAGTTTGTTACTTGCCACAAAGGCAGCCAGGTCGAACAAGATGGCGTCATATACAGTGATAAAACCTTCCATTTAACCAGTCCAGCAGCACGTAGTAATGATGGCACTTTTATTAGCATTTTATTTTTGTAACTCAGGATTGAACAATCATCCGTGCTTTTATCGAATGAATTAGTCTCTGAATGGGAAATCGATGGCATTCTGGTGTCACTCTGGTTATTATAAACAACAGACTTTGAATAAGGACATGCCGGTGTGTTAGTGTATGGACAAAAGCTAGAGATATCAGTCACTGAATGATAATGATTGCTATCAAACATTTCATTGATAAAGTAGGGAAAGAAGCTGAAATAAAACAAAAATGATTTGACTGCTTTTCTGGTGTTACAAATTCAGGCACTAATGCTCAATGCTGGGTAGGGAACATAACAAGCTTTCAATATTCATGTAAACAATGTCCACACACCCAGTAGCTCCAGTCACTGGTTAGCACTTATCTGCCCACAACATACCAGTCATTCTTAGAAACAATACAGAAAATGTCGACTCACTGACATCTATATGTTACGGTCATCTTTGTCTGAAACATATGTACGTTACAATATTATTTGAGAGCGAAAATATCTGAGATATTTAATAATGGGAATAAATAATGGGAAGACAGAAGTAATGGTGGAATCAAAGAAAAGAATTATTCCCAAACGTGTAATAAAAGTAAATAGTGTTATTTTGGGACAAGTACAGAAATTTAAGTATCTGTGCACATGGATAACATCAGATGGAAGCTGCATTACTGAGAAAAGAAACAGAATAGGACAGGCAAAAACTGCAATTTATAAAATGAAGAAAATCTTATGCAATTTATCTTTATCCTTGAGTTAGAAAAACAATTCTTGCTTGCTACATACATACAGTTTTAACATATGGCTGTGTATCCTGGACAACCCATAGGCAGGCCAAACAATTTCAGGCCTCAGAGATGTGGTTTTACAGAAGAATGGTTAAAATACCTTGGACAGCCAAAATGAGCAACCAAGAGGTTTTGAAAGAGGCGGAAGCCCAAAGACAATTTATCACATACATCAGAAGGAGACATTTTTAGGCCATCTTATGAGAAGAGGAGAAATGGAACATGTTGTGACCACTGGAAAGATCTGTGGAAGGAGGAATAGAGGAAGATAACGAGAGAAGATTCTTGACAGTCTTGTTACAAAGCATGGAGTTGTCCCAGTACACAAACTGACACATGCTGCAGGCGATCGTAGATTGTGGAAAGGCATGATTACCCACACCAGTCGGCGAGGCACCTGTTGATGATGATGAATATCTGAGAGTGGCATTTGCACTAGTTTCCTATCTGTGTGTTTGACTAAAACATCTATGTCACAGTTACTGTGTGTGTGAGTGCTGGCACATGTGTGTGTGTGTGAGAGAGAGAGAAAGAGAGATGGAGGCTGGTTTAACAACAGCATTTATACATTGCGCTTTTGATTAAGAGAAACATAAATATGGCATGGTTAATATACAGTTAGAAAAAAATTTTTACCGCTTGTCACACTATTGCTTCACAACCGAAAAAGAAAACGAGAAATTACAATGTAGCGGAGTTATGTAGGCCTTTTTCTTGAAACTTTCATGAATAATTACCTCCTGCAACTAGCGACACAATCATTTTGATGTTTTCAATCAAACCCCTTGAAATGGATAAAGTGGGGGGGGGGGGGGGGGGGGGGGAAGGGGGGCTATAAAAACAGTTATATTCTGTCATCAGTGGAAAATATCAAACAGTTTGAATTATCACACTAGAAAGTAACAGAAAAATGCCTTTTACTGGCAGCTTCCTGTCTTTCCAGACGATAGTATTGTATTGTAGTATAAGTAGAGATGGTTTCACAGCCCATGACGATAGTAAGTGTGACCAGCAAGATCCACCTGCATCTAAAAAAAAAGTCTTTCACAATTATAGCGCAGGGTTTCAGGACCATTGTTGTCAACATTTGTATTTAGTGTGTTTCTTCTCAGAAGCTTAGCTCTCATCCTTTCTACAATCATTTCTTCCTTTATTTTCATTCCCCTCCTGATATGGTATTTTGTTTTCACTAGTCCACCTCAGTACCTGTATCATTCATGTCGCGCTTGTACCCATCTTTATATCGTAGTAGATATAACTCTCGACATCTTCATCTGCCCATCTTTAATTCACCATAGAGGATGTCTTTAGGGAGTCTGATATCCTTAATTTTCCAGGTGTGACCTGAGCCTTCGTAGTTTGAGCATTGAGAAAACTTATGTAATAGCTGCTATTTCCAATACCTCAGTGATTGTAATATTATTCTGCCACTTAATGCCGAGTATTCTTCTCAGGCATCGCATGTGAAAACTAGTTAGCCGTTTCTCGAATAAGCTGACCAGATTTCACTGCCATAAAGCAGAATTCTTTAAAAAAAAAAAATTTAATTCTGGCCAACGCTCAACACTCAAGGGAAGGATGAGACAAATATACTGTCGGACAGGTATTGGTACTATTGGAACTGGAAATCTTCATTTGCTGTTGAAGATGGGAATGGAGCGCTTTCAGGGGGTGTCATGAGTGTTTTGATGTCGATTTCTTGATTCAACAATGAAAGCAGGGTGCTGAGATCACAATCATGACAGACGAGTTTTTGTTTTAACCTTTAGCTTTATGTTCTCTCAAAACTTTGTGTTAATCTGCTCACTGATGTTGCTGCCTTACCTATCCTGTTGATTTCTTGGTTCAGCGATAGTGTGTTATTCACTGCGAAGGGCAGATCGGTAAAACTGCCAAATGTATCCAACTCTTTACTATGTAGACTGCAGGTCTATCATTAACACCTTGCACCATACCTTTGTCTTTATTTTGTTAATTGTTAGTCCAAATTCACAATATGCATCATCAAATGCAGATAGTAATGATTGCAGCTTCTCTTCTGACTAGTAGTAATTGCTGCATCATATGCAAACAGCAGCTCTCTGATAAGCACGTTTCTAATCCTTGTTTTGACTTTTAGCCTATGAGCACTGCATAGGCTGCTGTCAGATCGAGAATGGAACCACACTGCTAATCTCGAAGAGCATATTACAAAAGAAGTGAGAAATATATTCCAAAGAGTGTAAAAGCAAGTACACATCCCTGCTTCACTCCAGTCGTGATGACAAACTCCAAGTTGACTGTACCTTTCATACTTGTGAGGAACGACTCAATAATGCTCAGTGGGGTAGGTGGACACCCAATCTTCTTCAGCGTGTTAAACAGACCTTTATAACTAATCAAATCAAATGCCTTGGTAAGATCAATGAAAGCAATACACAATGGCAGATTTTGCTCACGGGACTGTCGTAATGAAAAGATCAAATCAGCGGTAGAACGATTACCATGAAAGCCACACTGTGACTTTGGATAAATCTGGTCTTCTAGGATCTGGAGTCTTTGCAGAAGATTTCTCGATAATATTCCCCTGTAGTTATTGTAGTCACTCTGATCACTTTTTTTCTTGTACACAATTATGATGCTTGAATCTTCTGAACTTGTCCCTCATGCCAGTAGAGTGTTATTAGCTGATGAATTTATGGGGTTAGAATGTCTTTCCCACTTCTAATGATCTCAGCAGGAATCCTAGGGCCTTCTCCGAAGCCAGTTAATCAATAGCTCTAACACGATCTGTTAGTGTAGTCTCAACTGAATACTGCTCCAGATAACCGCTTAATCCCATCTATCAGCTGCTTCTTCTTGTCAGTAATAATAATTTATTATGGCCATAAAAATCACCAAGTATGTAGATGACATCAGATTTGGGAATTATTTTTGTTACTGTTTCTTAAAGTTGTATGGAGTTCATTTTACCTGTAGTCATTTTTATTAGTGAGCTGTAGCTAGTATATGTTAGTACATTTAAGAATACAATTTATTACCAGTAGGGATCAGATGTGGGCAAACCATGAATCCTCTCCTTTAACGAGCAAGGCTGGGAGATAGATCTTTTAGAATGTTTCACTGTTTGAGATTCCCTCTGTATACTGTCTACCTGTGAGGTCTCGTCTTCTTATTTAAAATCTTAACTAGCCCCGAAGGCAATAGTACTGAAGCCAACCTCATAACAGCAGTAGTTCAATGTCAGTCATTTGTTGTCTTGTACAGAACCGAGGAGGAATTGTGTTACATTGCCTTCTGTGGATCATCTGCTATTAAAAAAAAACGAGTTTCACGCCACACTTACATCCCTAATGTTTTCCAGCTCAGTGGAAAAACCAGGACACAGTGTCATGACGTTCCATTAGGCAAGCCGAAGCTTGAAATTTTGTTTCTTTTCACTGCCAGGTGCACATTTTTTTTTTTCACAGCCTGCGATTCGGATTTAGGCCTAGCTCCAACCCCCACTGAATCATACAGTCTGGCTGATCAACATCTTACTGGCTGGGGGTTTCCCAGCTTGAGGCGGGCGGGCGCAGTTGATCAGTGACGTTCGAAATTGTCTCCCACCGTCAGAGGCAACCCGTGGCGCCGTCGTCTGTACCAATTGACGGGGATCGTAACTGCTTCCTCTGGAATAGTTTCCGAGACCAATTGAGGCAAGGGGAAAAAGAGACAAAGTCTAGGCAGTATTGTAGAGACCACATGTTGCCCAAACATCATAATATCTCTCTCTCTCTCTCTCTCTCTCTCTCTCTCTCTCTCTCTCTCTCTCTCTCTCTCTCTCTCTCTCTCTCTCTCTCTCTACCTTCCTTGTTTACTCCAAGGGAAAGGTGGCATCGGGACGTTTGGAACAAAGCAGGCTGCAGAAGCTACTGGATCAAAAAAGCAGTGTTTTATGTGTCCGCCTGTCGGAGCTTCTCCCCTTTCCCCCCCCCCCCTCACCCCAGACTAGTTGCCAGCCAACGCTGAGG